TTACGATAATTCAAGGAACCCTTTTCACGACAACATCATCGCCTCTGCATCCGATGATGGCAAGGTGTTTATTTGGGAGGTTCCCGAAGGCTTTACGCTACATACCGACGCCGAGGAAATTACAGATGTCGCACCCGTGAGCAAGCTTGCTGGCCACCCCAGGTTGGTCTCATAATATTGTCGCTTGTCAGTCAAGTCACTAATCCCCGATCAGAAAGGTCGGACAGGTTCTTTTCAATCCTGCGGCCGAAAACATTCTCGCCTCTGCATCTGGCGACTTCACGGTCAAGCTTTGGGATGTTAGCACCGGTCAGTCGCCTCTTGCTCTCAAGCACAACGATATCGTCCAGAGTCTGTCATGGAATGCCAGTGGCAGCATGCTCGTTACCACCTCGCGAGATAAGAAGATTCGGGTGTGGGATGTCCGACAGGAGAAACCCGTTCACGAAGCCCCTGGCCATGGTGGTGCCAAGAACAGTCGTGCTGTCTGGCTGGGAGAGCATAATCGCTTCGCGACGACTGGTTTCTCGCGTATGAGTGAACGACAAATAGCTCTTTGGGAGCCTGGCAGGACGGAGCCCATTGGCGGCTTCACCATGCTGGATTCCATCTCTGGTGTCTGCATGCCTTTCTGGGGTAAGGTCTATCCTCCACTGTTCGGGCTGCGCCAGTGCTAAATACGTGATAGATGATGGTTCAAACTGCCTGTACCTTGCTGGCAAGGGGTAAGTTCCCATCTGTTTGCATGTTTCGCGACACTACTGACGCTGCTCAGCGATGGCAACATTCGATACTTTGAATACGAGAACGACAAGTTCGAATTCCTCAGCGAGTACAAATCGGGCGACCCTCAACGCGGCATTGCCTTTATGCCCCGACGAGGCATCAATGTACGGTTTTCTTGCATCGAATCTAGTGTCACGTTTACTAACAGTTCTAGACCCACGAGAATGAGGTCATGAGGGCTTACAAAACAGTTAACGACGCTTATATTGAGCCTATCTCGTTCACTGTGCCACGACGCGCTGAGACCTTCCAGGCTGATATTTTCCCTCCTGCCACTGGTACCAAGCCCGCTGCGACTGCTCAGGAATGGTTCGATGGCAAGACTGCCATTCCTAACAAGATTGACCTTGAGAGCGTCTATGACGGCACTGCGCCCAAGGAGATCGCCTCTGACTACAAGGCTCCTGCAGCTCCCTCTCCTGTCACTGAGAAGCCTGCACCAAAGATGGAAGAGCCCAAGAAGGAAGAACCCAAGCCAGCGCCGGCACTGCGATCTCCTCCTCCCACTATGAGTGAACAGAAGGGATCAATCTCTGCTATGGCTTCCAGATACCAGGACAAGCAGGAGGAGGAGGATGATGATGATGACGCTTCCAGCTTCGAGGAGGTTTCGCGGCCTGCTCAGCGTCAAGCTGTCCCTGCAAAATTTACTCCTCCTGCTCAACCGCAGACTGCCTCCACTCCTTCCCCTTCCACCGTCGCGAAGCCCTCTTCGCCAGTTAAGACTCCTGCTGCCGCCGCGTCCGCGGCTCCGCCTCCCACATCTTCAGCCCCCCGAGCTGTCTCCTCCGCCCCCAGCGGTAGTGACTCTTCTCTTGCGGAGATCAAGCAACTAATCGAAGGCCAGACAAAGCTTATCAACTCCCAGAGCCAACAGATCACCCTGCTCACCGCTGAAGTTGAGGCTCTCAAGCGTAAGGTTAGCTCTGGCTCCCAGGATCAGAGTGAGCGCATCCGCCAGCTTGAGCTCGAGTTAGAGGAAGCAAGATCTTGAAGAGCTCTTCGAACTATTTTAGGAACTGAATAGTGACCTCGTCCCAGACCTTGAAAACCATGGAAATGGATTGTAGCTGTAGCGAATCTGTATATATATTTAGATAGGGTTTCTAAAAGATCTGTTCTTTGATGGCCCCTTGATACTCTATGAGCCGAGAGCATTCGTCAATATTTTTCAACGACATGATCCAGGAGTTTTCTAGTGTACTCATTTTTTAACCTAGGTATGTTGCTGTTTTCGCACAGCCTAGTGCCTAATTCATCTTGATCTCGTCATCACTCCAGGAAACCAACCGAAGATACATACTTAGGGTGGCTCCCAACTACCACTACATAACTCACGTTAAACTAAGGGTATCTGCGCAAGGCAGCTGACAACAGCATGACAACCGAAGACGGATTGTTTCTAAGTTCAGGATGTAATTGGACTGAGTGCTTGAATCTACCCTACACTATCTCATGTAAATCAACCAACTACCACCAAAAACAATGTCCGTTTTCTCATGGCCCTCAGAGTGAACAGACCGGTGCATATCACCCTTGGGATGTCTCATGGCCGCGTTTCAATATGCGCTTACTCTTTAATACGGCTGCAGGTCGACCATTCGCGAACCGGACCGCTTTCGAGGGACGACAATGGGACGTTTCAAGAACAAAACAATAAATCAAATAAGGGAGACTACTATTTATATCGTGACTGTTTGTTTTACCTACATCTACGCGCCTTAAGCCATATACGTGGTGTTTTGACTGGTCGCTTCGGAAGAAGCCCAAGATAGCTGAGCTTGTTCGAAACAAGCACATCAGCGAGCAAGTCTTCAGCACGCGCACACCGTGGCTGCCAGATCAACCACGAGGGAGGCAGCATATTCAACTGGAGGGGCTGAGGATTCTGCTCAACCAGAGATAGTGGCGATCCTTCGGTCCTGGCAAGCCTGGGCAAGGTCATCAAGTGACAGACCGATTAGTCTGACGACCTTCCATGTATTGACCACCGGAAAGCAACCACTCGGGAGAAAGCAGAGCTGTGGGTTTGTCGTCACATTATGCCACCACAGTTGGGCTTCTCAATGAGGAAAGCTCTGATAGTGGCATTGTTTCACAACAAGGAGCCTTGATGGGGCGCATGGTCCAGACTCGGATCTGTTCTGATCACGAGAAGAGCTTCTTGAGAAACTACTACTGTGTAGGCAGATAGTAACAAGCAATACCTTCTTGGCAGAGTGGCCGGGCCAATGCCATGCTGAACAACGATAGAGTGGCGACACGAAACGCCATAATGGAAAACCCGAACCAAGTGTTCTGCCATAGCATTGACCATTGTCTCCGCCATCGTGAGAACCACCTCGCTTCGAGACCAGCGTTCGGATCTAGATCACGACCGAGAACAGGAACAGAGAAGTTGCCGATCAAACAATCAAGTGGCGTAAATGGGTTTGACATACCCCGTTTGTTTGAATGACGTTGCATTCACAGATACCTAGATACCATATGGGGAAGTCAGTTAAGCCAGGTTCACGAGAATAGCGTGCCAAGTATGGTGAAACTTTGCAGACCTGGCTCGCTTCAGCAAGGGACAGCAGAAGAATGCCCACTCAGCCACTACCTCAATTCATAACCCACGGGTAACATGACTCAAGGGAGGAGGGCATCGCGCCTGGCTGTACAGAGAGGTCGTATGCAGGAACAAGCGGACATGGACCCCTGATGCCCCGGAAACAGGAGTACGAAGTGTGAAGGGACAGGTCTGACGGCCGACAACGCAAAGAGCCTGCTTCAAAATCTTCTGGAAAAGCTGGTGGCTGGACGTTTCGTGTTTCAAGTATTTGAAGCAGAGAGCAGGGTCCGTTTCACGATCTCGGCAATATGATGTGAATGGAGGCCCTGGGCCACAAAAGTACTGTTGTCGATGAATAGAACGATGCCGGACGAGTTCAGTTTGATGAACACACAGATCTCGGTTACAGCGAATAGTTTAACACGGACCAACTGGTAGACTTCCTAACGAAGCTGATATTAGGACAGCATATTGTGAATATGATCGCTGGTTGGGGCTTGGGCTGTTTCAGGTCATTAGTCTGTTCTACGGTTAAGATAATGCAAGCCAGATCCGCCAGTGCTAATACAGAATCTTGTCTTCGAGGTAGCAGGGTAGAAACCTAGTCAACCAAATTTAGTTCTCAGCTGAATAGAACATTCCGTTTGCGGCAGCGATATATCAACTGAAAGGCGGGTCGATTATACCGGTACAAACGGGTGTACTTTGGGACAGTGATCTTGATCAGCCCCAGGCCAATTTCCAAAACGATACACAAGTCCTGTAGATTCGTCTTGGTCTCGAAAAAACATGATCAACACCTTTCTGACCCTTCAGGCTTCGACTGAGAAACTTCAAGTTAGCGCTGAGTTGATGAGGAGGTGACAATTATGGCTGGAAGATAACCATCAGCTTAATCCTTGACATCCCAGTGAGAAAAAAACAAACCCCTAGGAATTGGTCCACCGCCGGGAAACAGCCCGATCGGCGGCCATACCCTGCCAGCTGGTTTGATGAACGTAGTATTGATGCTATTTCTGGCTTGTTACAAAAACACAAGAGGCTGGAACGAAGATGAAGCATAAAGATGATGCTTGGGCGAAGACTTGATACAGCCAATGGGGCAGCCGAGACGCACCTCAAACTGGACCCCTTGCGGGACTTGGCTAGAGAAATCTTGGGTGACGCCGACAGGGAATGTTGATGAATTTGTGATTGGTCGCTGTCAGACGCTCAACTTAAACTTGGGCACACACCAGCTTTTGAAACACCAGCGTTAAAAGATGTGTGGCGGCCCGTTCGGCGAAGTCCTTGGCTATCAAGTGCTAAAGACTGAGCAGCAGGTCAAACGGAATGAGGCCCAGTGAATGCAAGCCGCTGCCATTTCCTTGTGGATTTGATGCAGGATTGGTAGGATAGACGCTCGACCGTTGGCTTGCGGTCAGGAAATGTGAGATTATTTTTAACCTCAAGCTAGGTGAACGTACCGTTTGGTATGTGGACGGACAAGTCGCTGGGCCACCAGTAAGTGACTCGTGTTACTTGGAATAAAGTGACATAACAGGCACAGTTTGCAGTGACAGTTGAGGCCATGACCTCCAAGACTTGTGGTGGCCCGCAATAGCGCGAATCAGAGGTCACAGGCTCACATGTAGTCGCGCATCTGATTGTAATTTTAAAATTACTCAGGGGTAATGTTGACCATAATAGTCAATGCAACCACACTTTCCAGCCACTGGTACTCGATCGTGTTGGCTTCTCGATGGTGATTCCGAGGATTTGATGAAGCGAAGGCCACTGACCGCAAGCCAGACATAGCTGGTTCCTGTTCAGATATCTCATTATGACTTGTCATGATGAGATCCCTTCGAGACACGGCGTTGGGTTCAATGATAAGTCAACCCCGGGCCCAGTAAAAATTCGAGAAAACGAAAGAAAGTCTTACTCGTATCCAGAACGATCTTGATAGTTGCTTGGCTGCGAATGTGAGAGATCATGATGGCGCACATATTGTATTCTCATTAATGACATGGAAGCCACGCAATACCACGCTCACCTGCACAGTGTCACCATGAAGCTGTGATGATCGGAGTTGGTAATAACTCATACTGATTCGAGAAAAAACATGAAGTTCTGGTAGCCAAACAAACCAAACTCTTTTGAGAAGCTCAACAGGCTCCCTGCTACTTCACACTCGAATGTCCGGTGCAGAGTTCTCAACCAGTCAGTCAACCAAACTGTCAATCCACAGAAAATGGGTAATGGGAATGAGTATTGGTCCATAAAACAACACACTCGTATCCAATCAACATAGAAAACAATTGGGTCGAATGTACAAACGGATAGTAGGTGCAAAGCGTGAAGATGATTCGATCATGTTTGATAAAATCGTAAAACGGAGTAACCCAACAACCCAGCTACCCTCTTGGTCACAATCCAGGATACATTGAAGGGGTGTGATGGTTTCAGATGTCCTGCATCACTGGTGCACAAGCACCTAGGCGAGGATGTGGTCTCTGATGCAGTCCTGCGGGTACGTTTCACCTCGATGAAGACGTTGTCTTAACACAGCCCTGACAGGGATGTGTGGACAATTTATCCTGCAAGCCGAAAGGATATCCTTGTCTTGCATTAGGACTCACAACTGACCAGCGGAACACACCGGCATATCTGATCAAAAGAGGAGAATGGAATCAAAAGAAGATGGCGCAGACGGTGCTGAGTGGAATTCAGCTCAAGGGATCGTCAATAGCCGGGGATTGTTTATCAAACGATCTTCCTGGGCCTTGCCCTTGGGCACATCTCCCCGCTATGATGCTTTCTCTACGAAGTGATGCTAGCACTAGTCCAGCTATGTAGCCTTGTAAACTACATTGTGGCCTGGGGGTTGATCTCTGTAATGAAGCTCTGTCAATATCGATGTTTGCGATATACAATATCCTTACTAACGATTGGAATTCATCATGTCCAGTTTTCGAACTACAGTTGATATTTTTGTGTGATGCAGTTATTGACTGTACGGAGTATTGGCTAGGAAACACATGGCAAATAATACTATGCATTCGATGAACATTTAAGACATTATTAATTATGACCACTGCCTCTGTAGTCAATACAGCACAGTTTTTTCACATAAATGAATAAAGTTTGGTTGCTCAACAAGCATGGATAATGAATGCTATGTCGTGCATATGCAACGAGCGATCTACTTACTGTACGAACCTGAGAGTATATGTAGTCCCTCGAAGGCTCGAAAGTGACAAGATGGGCAATCTGCGACTGTGTTCGGTTGGGGGCATCTCAAGGGAGAATGGACCCATCTCGCTTCAATCAGCTGATAGATTACTCGTGTTGTGTGCTCGGTTGTAATCAAACATATAGATGGCTTCCAACCTTCGAAGACATCATCAACCCCTTTCTTGACATCCAAGGGATGGCCTTAGGCCATCAATTATTGCTTTCATTATGATCGTAGCTTAGACCGGCCACCCACGTTGTAACCGGACTGTTCCTGCATATTAATAATGTGGTGCCTGGTAATATCAGGAATTGCTGTTTGCGAGGAGAGCGTCGGCCGAGGCATTGAACATGAATTGACCCCATTTGTTTTAGCAGGAACACTATAATGCATGGTATGATAGTGATCTCCGAGATTGACTCTGGAAAATACGATGAGATTGCGACACTCGCTTGGACAAAAGCCACATTCTGTCGCTGGCATCTGTGGGAAACTTTGGCTTCAAAGCTGATGGCCGACAGCGCTAAAGCATCCGATGGCTCAGGCTTTCTGACTAGCAATAATAGTAATTATGCCAATCTCTGAAAACCCCGCTCCCCATTCTTCCTCCAAGTCGTCGAATCCACTGAAAATTCGACATAATAACTACTATCCGACCATCGAAGGGAATCTGAAGTAGAAGCACACCTTGCCTACTCGTCACTGAAGTTGAGATGTTACTGATTGAATCCCACTAGCATCCATGGCCGGGTGATGTGTGTGTCGCAATTTTGAGATTAGCTCACAAACCTTTAAGCTAGGCTTCAGAGAGGCCTTTAAGATCCAATTATTAGGCTGAGACAAGCGGCACGACGCGGCCAGGGCATGAACCGACTGTGTTTTACGTTTCAGTCTTTGGGCTTTGTTGTGTCCATGTCCCCAGTCATTGTCTCTGTGAATTATAATGGTTGCGAGACAGCAATCAAAGACAAGAATGAGGGCCGTTACCCACGTTGCTTAGCTGCAAATGCAACTCTGGATTTGTTTCCGCGACCCTTGTCGATCTTTTCGGCCTCAACCCTATTCTGTCAGTCTCGTCCGACGCGGAAGGGAGCGTGGGTTTGTTTTGAAGCAGGGGCGTGGAATCAACCTGTCGATACTATACCTGGTAGTCAAGGGAGCCAATAGTGAAAGACTTTGTTGGCGTTGTTGACGTCCCCATCTCTTCTTTGCAAGCTGCCCGGGAAGCTTCCCATTTTATTGTTTCTTCACCTACATTATACGTAGTAATATCGCCGTTGGTGCTGGTCGTAAGTTGGAGCCCTCCAAAAGCCACTTGGAACCAGCTCCACGGCGCCTTCCAGCCAGCTCCATACCGGTTATATTAAAGAATGAGGGCGTGCACAAACTAGTACCAAGGCTCCAAGCCTGCTTCTGATATGGAAACTGTCTGGAGTACTCTGTGCGGAGGCACCGTGTTGAACGTAATAGTATAGACTTCATCAGACTTCCGTTCTGATACTATAGGGCATGACACTGTACAGTACAGTACAGTACAGTAGAATGGCTCATGTCTCCCTGCGAGTCTGTTAACCTGGGTTCCTAGACAGACTGCCAGAATAGAGTGGTCCAGTTTTTGGTCTTCCAGGGGGGTTCTAATCTAGAATAAACTAAAGACCAAAAAGTGTTTGGGTAATTGCTAAAGTGACAGGGTAGAGGCGTATGTCTAAGTGGAAGACAAGAAGCAGTAGAGGATTAATGACATGGAATAGAGAGCTATTGCAGGTTCCATCAAAGCTGACCTGAATCCATCCATTGTCCGTTATCGTTCCCATCTATAGGTAGGTTTATTTGTTGCAGTGCATAGGAATGGAAGCAAAGAGGAAGCCACACTGTGCCTGCTCCAGCACAAACAGAACGATGAGCCTCCACTTGTTGTCTCTGATTGGCACGCTGAATCATGCTCTGACATTGACTCCGCTACTCCCGTTGCTGACGAGCAAGCCCTCCACCCTCCATCCCACCTGGCTCCTCCCCAAAAGCACCGTGCGTGGTATGTGGCTGCTCTCCCGCCCTCGCGACGCCGTCGTTCGCTTTTTCAGGTTGGCGCGTGCTCTAGAAGTCCAATCCCAGCCTAATTGGAACCCACCCCATCTGTCCGCGCGCACTTGCCATGCCAGGCCCAGGTACTTGCCCTTGGGTTACTCTGTCCTCCTTTCCATGGGTCTCCATCTCTTAATTCACTTACTTGCCTTGTTCTTCCTTTGCCTTACTTGCTACCCAGACCCATCGGCGCGACACTCTCCCACACAACATCTCATTAAACCCCCGTATATCCTCGCTCGCCCGCTCAGATTTTCCCTCCGAAATCTTTTCCTCTTGTCGTTTTGTTTTCCCTTCATTTTGCACTCCTCCCTCCTCCCCTCTCCCCTCGCTCCACACTCCGCGGACCCATTCGGAGTTGCCCTCAAACTCGTTTCTCTTCCCAACTCAATAGAAGCCGCCTTCTCCCCCGACGTCTCAAGTTCATCTTCAACGCGCCGCTTCGCTTTCAGCTGTCCTTCGTTTTTCTTCACGAAGCCACTGCTCGCTTTTGATGAACATTGCTCTACGGCTCTGTTGATATCTTTTCGCTTCTTGCTTCCCCGTTGTTGCTTGCTTATAGCTTTAATCTGGTTCGATTTCTTGTTTCGCGCGAAACTTCGACTTCGATCCCCCACCATCGCCTACGCCTTGACGGTTGCACTCCAGACGCCTCTCAGTCACATTCGCTTGACGCGGTTGCTGAGTCTTGAATCGCATTGCGCAGCGATTCCATTATTCCGGGCTGGTCTCGAATTTTGGTCAACAAGCATCATTCCCATCATTATTTATACTCGGATCCAGGCTGCGCCTCGACCATTTCATTCTCATTGAACCTGGCTAAAACTGTTGATTGCACCGTCATCCCTTGCTCGCCACAAGTTTCGATTGCCATCTGCCAGACTTTTCGGTTCGCTTCGCAACGACTCCCGGCCGTTGAGCGCCATCGACTCGACTGACCAACCACGGTCACGTCACTATAGACAACACTCACAGAGCCCAGCAAAATGTATCCGCAACACTCCACAATGGCGCCTCAGAAGCCCGAAACCTTCATGTTGAGTACTGAGGCTCAGCAAGCTCTGCCTCATGATGCCCAAGTTGCCCTGCAGCAAGTTGACAACTGTAAGTCTTGGATGTGAGAAAATTGCCTCTTGTGTTCTAACACCTTGTTAGTGAAGTACTTCCTCATCTCAGCCCCTGTCGACTGGCAGCCCGATCAGTACATTCGCCGATTCTTGTTGCCAACTGGCGAATATGTCTCTTGCATTCTCTGGTAAGATGAGACTGACGGCGTCAATCACGAGTTTGACCACTAACTTGACCGCAGGAACAATCTTTTTCACATTTCTGGTACAGATATCGTGAGATGCCTGTCGTTCCGATTCCAGGCTTTTGGCCGTCCTGTCAAAAACTCCAAGAAGTTTGAGGAGGGCATCTTCTCCGACTTGCGAAATCTCAAGTCTGGAACCGACGCTTCTCTGGAGGAGCCAAAGAGCGCCTTCCTCGACTTTCTCTACAAGAACAACTGCATCCGAACACAAAAGAAACAAAAGGTCTTTTACTGGTACAGTGTCCCACACGACCGTCTGTTTCTTGACGCGCTGGAACGCGATCTTAAGCGTGAGAAGATGGGCCAGGAAGCCACCACCGTTGCTGTCAGCGAACCGGCTCTGTCTTTTCAATACGACTCGTCTCAGTCGCTCTATGAGCAACTGACTAAGGCGCAGCAAGCCAACTCCTCCTCTTTCAGCGCCCAGCAGTCTGCTTTCTCTCAGAGCCAGTCCACCTCCCCAGTTATGCGTGCGATGGACTCGATGCCTCCTCCCCCGACAATGATGCCACAGTCCATGCCCCCTTTGGCGGAGGGGATGGACGCAATGGTACCTTATGGCACGATGGCGGTGCCTCACCCAATGGCCCAAGCCGTCCCTGTCAAGAGGGAACCTGATTTCACCCGTGTTCAGTACAACCATAATGGTGTCCCAATCACTCAAGGGCACCAACGCCATGCTTCAATGCCTGCTTATGGTCTCGAGTATTCGCCAGCCCCTTCATTCGTCTCCTCTCAGTACGAGGATTACAGCAACCGAGGAATATCCTTTGAACCCATTACGCCCCCTCAACAGGCTTTGGGTATCTCAGCTGAGCCCGCGTATATCGCCAATGAGGAGACAGGCTTGTACTCGGCCATTCCTGACCATATGGCTAGCATGAACGGTCTTAACGGCATGGTTCAACTGCCACCTTCCAACTTGGCGGGCCCTCAGTTCTCTCGTCCCTATGGTACAAACAACGTCTACTCTGTGATCGAAGGTTCACCGACATATAAGCAGAGAAGACGGCGTTCATCCATTCCTCCATCTATGTCGGCAATTACGACCCCAGCTGCTACTGCCCAAGCAGCCTCACACACACACTCTCACCGGCCTTCTGAGCTTCGCCGATCAATTTCTGCCTCAGTTGGCCCCGTAGCTGAAGGTGATGAATCAGCAGACAACTCGCCTCCCGGTCTCTCCTACAGCACCTCCACGGTTTCTGTCAACACCCAACACCACCAGAATATGTCAAGGCATGGAACCCCGCTGTCGACTGTGGAAGGAAGCCCTGCTGCCCACTCAATGGGCATGCACCAGCAAGAGTTTCCTCACCTTGCTAGCGAGGAATTTTCTGGTGATGTCAATGATCAGCGCCGCTCTGTTCCTGCTCCCAACGGCGCTGTCAGACGTGCTCGCTCCGCGACCGTCATGGAAGTTGGTCCATATCCTCAGAAGTCACACTCTTGCCCCATTCCCACCTGTGGCCGTCTTTTCAAGCGTTTGGAACATCTCAAGCGGTAAGTTCGCTGCCTCATAGTAAGGTGCCAAAACTAAACTGAAATATAGACATGTGCGAACACATACACAAGAGAGACCTTACATCTGTCCCCACTGTAGTAAAGCATTCTCAAGATCTGATAACCTGGCGCAGTATGTTGCACATCTGATCATGTAACGGAGTTATCACTAATACCCTATACTAGACACAAGCGTACCCATGGCCGTGAAGATGGCGGAGATGGTTCCTTGAACCTGTCAGGCGAGGAAGATGAGGACTTCTCTGGTGATGACCACCTTGGCTCACTCGAAGAAGCCTCACCACACTCTGATAGCGCCTATGTGACCGGCTCCCTGAACGCTGCTGCCCATGGCTCAACCCCACCCTCAAGTATGGCACCCACACAATCATATAATAGTCTCGAGACTCTCAGCATGCCCATGACAATGAGCCAACCGGCTGCTATCAACGCCAGCGGTATGATGTAACGGCAAACCTGCGTACGAATTTGTCATTTTAGTTGCGCTCAGATCATGACTTTAAGGGATTTATGGCTTCAAATTTGGTGGAAATTTGCAATGGTTACATGCACGCGCTGTCCTTGACCTTTCCTTTGTTTATATTTTAAATTCTCCTTTACTTGGAAGCGCTTACATGTGCTTAAAATATGGCCCCAATAGATTCAAACTCTTGTAACTTCTGGGAAGATTCTCATGCAGCTCAGAGTATCACGAACGTATTAAGTTGAAGTGGACTGAGGAAGCATCTGTATATACATGGTTCCTACTCCTTGAATAAGGCTGTATTTCTAGGCATTATGCCGGGGAGACTACTGACTAGGAATGGTTACATATGGTAGATCAAAAGAAGAAACTGTTGTTTTTTACATGCCATTTCAAAGGCTGCCGCTCGAAGTGACGACGATGTCCTGCTGGGCGCACGAAAGTGGGTTCCAAATACCGTGCTAACGCCGGCTTCTTCTACCAAATGTATCTCTTCCACCCTCTATGCTCTTGATATCCTTGTCGCTCAAGCGTAGTTCTGCCCCCTTGAGTCTACCAACTCCCGGTCGGTCGACAGCAACGTCCCTTCCCCTATCTCTACGGCCCTTCTTCTTACCAGTCTCTCGTTCGAGGATCACTCCATTCTCCTTAGCTTCTCTCCGGCGCTTTGCTTCTCGTGCGTCTGCCGCAGCAACAATACCCTTGCGCATGTTCATGGGCATCTTTTCTTGCTTGTGAATCGACACTTTGGATCCTAGAGCCTGGACGCGCAAGTCCATGGCCTTTTGACGAGTGCGGCCTGTAGCAAAAGCCTTGGGTGCAATGGTGGTACCGGATGCTGAAATGGTCGGCGCGAGAAGATGTGATTCTGCAAGGAGTCGTCGGAGTTCAAGGTCTTGGGCTAGAAGGGAGGGTGCGTCTTCGGGGAGGGTGTTTGAGGAGGATGAAGTCGCTGATAGAGGCTGCTCGGTTTTGGGTGTTGTTTGCTCAGGAGGTCGTGATGACTGGGGATATCCTGTTAGTGCCATGTTGTGGAGTGATCGATACGACGCAATACATACCATGAAAGCTTTGAGCTCTCGTTTTGACATTGCCGCTGGTTTCGGCGGTTGCTTGCTCGAATGGTCTACGACCTGTATTGTTGGATTTTCTTCTTCTTCTGTGACAGAGTCCTCATCGGAGAGGCCACCCCATTCGCCGTCGTCCCCGTTACTGTCGTTGTTCTCCTCCTCTTCCTCGCTCTCGATGTCGTTGCTGTTTCCCTCATGTTTCGTCTTCTTGAATTTCGATTTAGCGGCTTCTGCCTCTGGCAGGGGTGCAAATTCCGCCTCGAAATGTCGTCTGAAAATGGCTGCAGCATCTTCTTCGGATATTAAAGGCTCAGGCTCAGCCTTGCGCTTGCCTAAGATAGCCATTGCGGGCGGATTTGATTCAAGGTCTGCAATGGTAAGCGCCGGGCTCGGATTATGATGCAAGGAAATTTTGGCTGCTGGTACCTAGTAGTTTTCAGCCTCGCATCCCACTACAACAAGGCTGCCCCACTATGTGAGCGAGTGGTAAGGTACTATACCTACCTACCTAAGTAGTAATTTATGATCATGGCAAATATTACGAACAAAACAAACGCTTGGTTTGTGATATGTAAGAATCAGAAAGATAGTAGGATTTGGGAGACCTTTTGATGTACCCAATATTGATTACGCATGCCTGGTCCAATGGCAGGCCTATATACCTACCTTGTAACGCCTGAAATCTATTGAAAGTGATGCTAAGTTCCATGGTATCGTGCCAAAACGCCAAGAATATAGGATAGGTAGATCAAGCTTTTCCAGTGAGCCTTGCCCTTCTCGAGTCCTCTTCTCTTAGCGCCTCGCTCTTTGCTAAGAAGTCTTCTCGGGCCATGTATGAATCCTTGGACTTGCCAGCCAACTCAAGCTCATCCTTGATGCCCTCCTTGTCCACGTAACCAGCCCAGTCCATACGACTCTTCTCGACAACATTGAGTTTCTTGGCTTGTGCTTCTTTGCCAGCCTTGATCCGGGCGGCCATTCCGAGATTCAGATCTGCCCGATGGGGAAGAAGATCTACCTGAGGCTCGAAAGCTGATCGGAACGCCTTTCTGGTAACGCGCTTTTCAGGGCTATCCTTGGGCGCCTCTTGACCTTGTGAGGCAAGATAAAGCTTTGCTTCGGCTGAGTCACGCGGAACCAGCTTTTCCTCTATGTGAATTCGACCAGCAAAGTTATACGTGCGTTTGATGCGAATCATTGTTGATGACTGGTCGGATATGGTTGAATTCGATTTTTTTTTAGCTGAGTCGTTTGGCTTGTCAATGAAGTTGGTACTTGTATCCACGTCGTTGGGTCGGTCGTCCTTGCTTTCTGGAGTTGGTGGTTTGGATATCATTTGCGCCCATAGCGCATCAACATCGATAGTGACTGGCTCGTTGTTTGTCGCATATTGACGCTCTTCTTTCCTGATATTCCTTGTCAGTAAAACGCACCGAGGGATCCAGATATCAGAGACATACTCAGCGGCACGCTGTCTACGAGTCTTGATCAGACCGCCCTCACCCTCGTCGTGTTCACGCACGCCTTTTGCTTGCGTTTTCTTACGACGCTTTTCGCCCCTTTTTATGATCGCCTCATCACCTGAGTTGTCATATCCTGCATCGGCTTCATCTTGTGGGCGACTTCGTTTGTTGGCTGTTTTGTCGCTGTGATCTTCTAAGTCAGAGTGATCAGAAGTCTGATCGGGCGAATCATCCAGAGCGAAGTCTGAGTCTTCCGAGGATACGTATGATTCATCTTCGTCCAATAGAGAATCTGGAGGCATTCTGGCAACTGTGATGTTGGAACTTGGCGCCCTGTTATTCTTGTCGCGTAAAGTTGAGACAACTCAGCAAGGTGAGGTGCAGGTCTGCTCTCGGTCAAGAAGTGGGTCGTGGTAAGCAACCAATCAATAAATATGTATTGCTTTCATCACCAAAGTTTGAGATGATGGGAGACACGAAATATACTCCTTGTTGGATGTTTGCTCTAATCCGTACCTATTCAGCGATTTCATTTAAAGAGCGATATCGTGAATTAACTCTAGTGTTTAGGTAAAACAAAAATGCACCATTTGGCGATTGAAACTCCAAGATCCTTTCATTAAAAGTGCATGCAAATCAATAAGGGAGCAGAAGTGCTTCCGGGTGGAAAAAGCTACCGCAAACCGAGTATTTCTGGCCAATTCTACTCCGTAGCAAGAATAGACAACTGATGTCTGTCTTTCGTAGGGATGCGTATGGAGTACCTGACACTCCATCTGGCGGTGAAATGAAAACCGATATGATACCAAACTTCACAATAGTGACATGCCTACCGAGTAGCAATGACAGTTCAGTCACAACTGGTAACTTGTCTTGAATAGAATCAGAACTATGCATCGACGATAAACATGAAAGAGACTGCGCAAATAAACTGGCCAGGACCAACGAGCACGGTGGCTTTCGTAATAGCAGTGGGTGAGACGATGTCTCAATTCATTTAGATATTCTTCATCCTGAACTAAAGTAAAAGAACCGGGGCGGTGGACAACCCCAACCAGCGCCGCCCAGGCAAGGTTCAACCAGACCAGACCGCCCGACTGCCTGACTACTTCATTCGTAAATGACTCCCACCTCCTCACCCCCACGTAACCTCGTTCTTTCTTCCTCTTCCTCCTATTTGGCGACCGATAACCAAGCTGTTTGCTATGAGTTCCGACGATGATTTCGAGATCGAAGTTTCCGAACTGGCAGCAGACGATCCTATGAGAGCTTTCTTGCCCACATCGTTTGGGAAGAAATCGAAAGAAGCCGATGTCGCAGCCCAAATCGAAAGAAGTCGCAGAAAAGTCGTAGAAGTCAGTGGTGGAAAGAAGAAGCAAGATTCTAGTGATGACTCCGACAGCGACAACAGCGACGATTCCGACCAGGATGAATTCCCTGTATCACACGAGCTTGTTCTTAAAACTCACGATCGCGCTGTCACCACAGTCTCGCTAGATCCAGCAGGAGGACGCTTAGCAACTGCTTCCACAGACTGTACTGTCAAGTTGCATGATTTTGCTTCCATGACTCCCAGCACGCTGAGATCTTTCCGCACCGTCGACCCCTACGAAACGAAGGCATCCGACGTTAACTCTCAATCGCACCCTATCCACCGTATAGAATTCAACCCTCTCGCAGGAGGTGTCTTTCTTTGTGTGTCAGCGCATCCCCAAGCGAAGATACTGTCCCGGGACGGCGATATTATTACAGAATTTGTCAAGGGAGACATGTACCTGCGTGACATGCACAACACCAAGGGTCACATATCCGAAATCACGACTGGAACCTGGCACCCCACTGATAAGAACTTGTGCATAACTGCGGGTACAGATAGCACATTGAGAATTTGGGATATCAACAACAAACGGACGCAGAGAGATGTCGTCGTGTTCAAGTCCAAAGCCGCTGGCTCTGCTGGTCGAACCAAGATGACAGCTGTTGCATGGGGATCTTCACCCCAAGGAAGCAGCAACGTCCTTGTCGCAGCAGCTTTGGATGGCTCGCTGGTCATGTACAGTGGCAATAGTCCTTTCTCACGACCTGCAGGAGAAATACGCGACGCACATAAACCGCAAACGTGGACCAGTGGCATTGATATATCGTCCGACGGTCGCATGGTAGTCACAAGAGGAGGCGATGATCTGATAAAACTCTGGGACACCCGCAAATTCACGAAGCCTCTCGTGACAGCCGCACACACCTCAACCTCAGACCATTTCCCTACGAGCAACATCAAGTATGCACCAAACTCGACAAGCATCATCACGGGCTCCGCGACCGGCCATCTCCACATTCTGAATCCTGGCAATCTGCGCGCAGAACATGTCACTGAAATAACACCTGGGTCACCACTCATCACAGTGGATTGGCATCCGAAGATTAATCAGATCGTTACAGGTTCAGCTAATGCCGAGACTCATGTCTTGTACAACCCGCAGATGTCGAGTAGAGGCGCTGTAGACGTCATGTCACGAGCACCGAAGAAGCGACATATTGACGACAATCCTGAATTAACAATGGACCAGTCTGTGGGCGTATCTGGTGATTCGATTGTAGTGCCAGGTGCGGCAAGAAGCTCAAAGCCATCTGGAGTTACAGTATCAGGCCGCTCTAAAGATCCTCGACGCCCGCACATTCCCCAACAGACACCATTCCAGAAGAACCAGCCGGACGAGAAGCTCATCGCAGAGAATATTCCTCTTGCGCGCATGCTGCACGAAGATCCGCGAGAAGCTCTACTGAAATACGCAGACAAGGCCCAGAGTGACCCTATGTTTACCAAAGCCTGGAGTAAGACGCAACCACAAACCCAATACGCGGAGCTGAGCGACGAGGAAGATGGTCCCGACAAGAAAAGGCTCAAGAGGTGAGACCACTAACACATGCTGGAGGTTGTAGGGGGCTTAGGATTGTGTCTGGAACATGCAAGAGTCCAGTAACAGCCTACGACGTCTTTAGGCCTCCCTAGCTCGTGTTACATTACCGCCTCTATCATTCCGTAACAGCATAACCACTCAGGTAATTGCAACCTTGGAATTTGGCGCTTTTAACGCCTTTTTACTGAGCCGAGAATTACTGTCTAAGGCTCTGCTGGTTATTTCTTTTCACCGAAGATGTGTCTTTCCTTCTCCGGCCTCAGGTTTCGGAAGGACTCGAGCAGCCCAAAGGTATGGTCTCGGGCATCACGTGCATGTAATCTTAAGCCAGCCAATCCAGAATAGATTTTCAATTACCTAATACATTTTCTTGGCTGCCTCAGGCGCATTTGCAAACTGCCTGGTCGCGGTCGCCTCTTACAGGGGGGGCCGTGCTGAAAAATACTCTGGCTGGTCGACTCAAGACCGCACCAACCATCACGCTGCATCTTGTTCAGTTGTGCCTTCACCACTCCCCATCATCAACCGGCGAGCGCGCGCATCCAAAAAATCGCCAGGGCCCTTTCAAACCATCGGCTCTCATCGAGAGAAACCACCGAATCCGTGTTGCACGCGATTTCCACGCCGCCCCGGTCCCCGGTACCGATTCAATACGCGCCTTGTCGCCACATCGCACACTTTCCCTTCAGTATTCGACCTTCTTTGGACCATCGAGTGTCCATTCCCGTGCCTCTAGCAACCTCACTGCAACCGCCGCGTTCCAAACTTGAAGGTTGCTCCACGCCAAGGCTATCCCACGCGCCATCTCCGACGTGTCGCCAATTTCTTGACGACTCCTTCCAACGTTTTCTTGAACATTGTCCTTTTTGCTTCGATTCTGACGCGTTCATTGTCCCTTAATTAATTTCTGCGTCAAGCATTCGTTTTCGCGACGCCGAGGCACGTCCCATCTTGCGCGACATGCCATATAGGTAGCTGCATCTTCACAACTAATTAACCGATTTGACTATCAAGAAGTCAACGCGCCGTAGACTTCATTCATCATGGCGTCGGTGCATGCACCACATGCTGTTCAGCACCCAGGCGCGCCAATGCCTGCTGGCGCGACCAAGCAACAGGCAGAAGAAGTTTTCAGGGTATGCTCTTATCATGGACTTTTTTTTTTTTACTGTCAATACTATTTATTGCTTAGGACTATGAATGCTGATACGTCATATAGAAACTTAAGCAGATGAAGGAACAAGGCGTGCCACCGTCGGACCCTGAATACATCAAGGCTTCACAGTTCTTGATGAGTTTCCAACAGCAACACAACATGCGACGTAACCAGCAGCAATTCCTGCAGCAGCAACAAAAGCAACAGATGCAGAATGCAACAAATGGTACGCCTGCTAACGGTGTTATGTCTGGACGTCCTATGCAGCAAGGCTCGCCCCAATCGACTCAACCCCCTTCTAATCCGCTCGGTGCCTCCGCAATGCCAAACCAAACGACTTCTACTCCTGTATCCACTGGAACGTCTCCATCGACTGCCCCATCTTCAAACCATTTCACGCAGCAACAGCTTGGCCTACTTCGACAGCAGATCCATGCTTTCAAATTGTTGGGGAAAAATGCCGGAGTCTCTCTGCAGCTGCAGCAGGCCATATTCAACCAGCGCCATCGCAGACAGGCCGCCGTCGCCGATGCTGCACAGGTGACCCAAGCGACTAAATCGAACCAGGCAGATTCCGAAGCCAGTAAAGAAGGACAGAACGGACCTGGAGCTGCGACAGAAGATGAGGGCTCAGAGATTCCCAAGGCGCATACATTCAAGACAGTAAAGTCCCCCTATGGCACCAGCATGATTCGCCCCGAAATTAAGTACTTTGATCATTCCCAACGGAAGAATCGCTGGTTCATTCCTGGTGTATTCCCCACTGGTATTGATTTTGATCATTTGCGATACGAGCGAGAAGTTGTTGTCTCGAACAGGATGAGACAGCGATATGCCGAGTTGAAGAACCTGCCTGGTGATTTGGCTCACTGGGACTCTTCCAAGGAGACACTAGAGGCCGACGACTCTCTCAAGCGAAAAGCAATAATTGAGATGAAGAGCATAGCTCTCTATGCCAAGCAACGGGCTCTTCGGGATAAGATCGGCCGTCAAATGATGCATTATGACAACCTCGCCATGACCACAAATCGATCCGGTTTCCGCCGAATGAAGAAGCAGAACGTCCGCGAGGCTCGTATCACCGAAAAACTCGAGAAGCAGCAACGCGATGCCCGCGAAAACCGAGAGAAGAAGAAGCATACCGATTTCCTTCGAGCTATCTACACCCACCGCCAAGAAATTCAAGAGTCTGCTTCTTCACAGCGTACCAAGTCGCACAAGCTCTCTCGTCTCATGTACCAGCAACACTTTAACATCGAAAAGGAGGAGCAGAAGCGTATCGAGAGAACGGCCAAACAGCGTCTCCAGGCTCTGAAGGCCAACGATGAAGAGGCTTACCTTAAGCTTCTTGACCAGGCCAAGGATACCCGTATCACGCACTTGCTCAAGCAAACTGATGGCTTCTTGCATCAACTCGCGTCATCAGTCAAGGCACAACAACGCCAGGCTGCCGAGCGCTATGGTGACGGGGATGATCCGCAGATGGATGATGCCAGTGATTACGATGAGGATGACGAAAGCAGCAAGAAGATCGATTACTATGCTGTGGCACATCGTATTCGTGAGGAGGTTACCGAGCAAGCCAACATGCTTGTGGGCGGTAAGCTCAAGGAGTATCAAGTCAAGGGTCTCCAATGGATGATCTCACTCTACAACAACAATCTGAACGGTATCTTGGCTGATGAAATGGGTCTCGGAAAGACCATTCAAACTATCAGTCTAATCACTTATCTGATTGAGAGGAAACAACAGGCTGGACCGTACCTTGTCATCGTGCCTCTGAGTACACTTACAAACTGGAACTTGGAATTCGAAAGATGGGCACCTTCTGTGAGCCGTATTGTCTACAAGGGACCTCCCAATGCTCGCAAACAGCAGCAAGACAAGATTCGGCAAGGAGGGTTCCAGGTATTACTCACGACATATGAGTACATCATCAAGGATCGCCCTATCCTAAGCAAGATTAAGTGGTTCCACATGATTATTGATGAGGGTCATCGAATGAAGAACTCAAACTCCAAATTGAGCTTTACCATTCAGCAATACTACCACACCCGTTTTCGACTCATTCTCACCGGTACACCTCTACAAAACAATCTCTCTGAACTCTGGGCAATGCTTAATTTTGTTCTGCCGAACATTTTCAAATCTGCAACGACTTTTGATGAGTGGTTCAATACCCCCTTCGCGAACACTGGCGGCCAGGACAAAATGGAACTCACCGAAGAAGAGCAAATTCTTGTTATCAGGCGTCTTCACAAGGTCCTGCGACCCTTCCTTCTCCGTCGTTTGAAAAAGGATGTCGAAAAGGACCTTCCCGACAAGACAGAGAAGGTCATCAAGTGCAAGTTCTCTGCCCTTCAGTCCAAGTTGTACAAGCAGATGGTCACCCACAACAGACTTGTCGTTAGTGATGGCAAGGGCGGAAAGACTGGTGCTCGCGGATTGAGCAATATGATTATGCAGCTCCGGAAGCTATGCAACCACCCGTTCGTGTTCGATGTTGTGGAAAATGTCATGAATCCTCTGAGTATCAGCAATGATCTCTTATGGAGAACAGCAGGAAAGTTTGAATTGCTTGACAGAATTCTGCCTAAGTATCAAGCAACTGGCCATCGAGTCTTGATGTTCTTCCAGATGACTGCGATCATGGATATCATGGAAGATTATTTGCGTTACAAGCGATTTGAGTATCTCCGATTGGATGGTACGACCAAATCCGACGAGCGCTCCGACTTGCTTCGAGAGTTCAATGCCCCTGACTCGAAATACTTCATGTTCTTGCTATCCACCCGTGCAGGTGGTCTTGGTCTCAACTTGCAGACCGCTGATACCGTTATTATCTACGATTCCGATTGGAACCCTCATCAGGATCTGCAGGCCCAGGATCGTGCTCATCGTATCGGCCAGAAGAATGAGGTCCGAATTCTCCGACTTATCAGCTCCAATTCGGTAGAAGAGAAGATTCTCGAGCGAGCAAGATTCAAACTGGATATGGATGGCAAGGTTATTCAGGCCGGTCGTTTCGACAACAAGTCATCTGAGACCGACCGTGACGCTATGCTTCGAACACTATTGGAGACTGCTGATATGGCGGAATCCGGTGAGCAAGATGAGATGGAGGATGAAGAACTTAACATGCTCCTTGCACGCAGTGATGATGAGATAGCGGTGTTCCAGAAGATTGACGAGGAGAGGCAGAGAAATTCGCCCTACGGCAATGGACCAGGCAGCAAACCTCGACTTATGGGTGAGGATGAATTGCCAGATATCTATTTGAATGAGGGCAATCCTATTTCGGATGAAACGGAGGATGTCGTATTGGGTCGTGGCGCGCGTGAACGTACCAAGGTCAAATACGATGATGGTCTCACTGAAGAGCAATGGCTTATGGCTGTGGATGACGATGATGACTCTCCAGAGGCAGCTGCGGCCCGCAAGCAAGCCCGAAAGGACAGGCGGGAGAACAACAGGCTAAAGAAGTCTGGAATCTCCAACTCGGTGGATGAATCGCCATCAGGTAGCAGAGCAAGCACTGAGGAGATTGAAACTCCCAAGAAACGAGGTCGTAAACCGGGCAGCAAGAACGAGAAGCGCAAGGCCGAGGACGGTAATGATGAGCCTCCTCCCAAAAAGCGGCGTGGGCCACAAGGGCGCCCCAGCAAAGTCAGTCTGGAGTCACGGCTTCCGCCACATCAGCGGGAAGTCTTACAAAAGAGTCTCCGTAACTTGTACGATGCTCTGATGACTTTGGAGGTGGACGATATTGAGCCCCCTGAGGATGACGAGTCGGATCCTGGCAAGCGTCTCATCATCGGACCCTTCGTCAAGCTGCCTCCCAAGCGCGACTACGCCGACTACTATCTCATCATTCAGAATCCTATCTGCATGAACCAGATACAGACTCGGATCAAAAAAGAGGAATACACATCATTGAGTGGACTGCGAAAGGATATCGAATTGATGATCCGCAACTGTCAAACTTATAACGAGGATGGAAGCATTCTGTATCAGGATGCTAAGGTCATGAACGTAAGCATACATTGTCCATGGTTGTTTGTCTGATTTGTCGCTAACGTGATATAGGAATTCTTTAACTCCAAGTACCAAGAGGAACTGGCGGCGCATCCTGAACTTCAAGAACTTGAAGAAGGGGGCAAGGACAGTTCAGTGGCGCCCTCTGGAGGTGGCGGCACTCCGCAGCCCAGCGGCACCCGCATCAAATTGATTTCTAGTGGCTCGAAAGAAGCAAACGGCGGTAGCACGGCTGCTCAAAGCGACGAGGAATGAAAAATGCGGCTGCCGAGGGGAGCACTGTTGATCGATGAGATCGGGCCGCAAAATAGCCTGTAAAGTTGTATCGCCCAAAGCGGCGATTGTTTGATGATATATGCAATGGCGTTCGGCAGGACAGGTGTCAATAAACAACATGCGATCAAGGAAAGAGAAAGCGAAGGGAATTGAGGATCAAATACCAATACAACAGACGCATTGACGGAAGTCGTTTCATAGACCTCCCAATGAACGACTCTGGAGTGCGTCAAACCTGCAAGGGGATGGCGAACTTGCACTGCGTGTTTAGATAAATAGTAGGATGTATTTTAATTAGAAGCCTTACATGCAGTAACTTTTATTCATCTATCTGTCTATAACGGTGGGTGACAGTGGTGGTGAATATTTGACGCGATAACATTCTGAGTTTGATAGTACAGTACAGGTCAGGTGTCTTGAATCTGATGCTTCCTCAACCCAGCCAGCTCAGCTCTCTGCAATAAACTTAGACTTGTCCTCATTCGCCACACCTCCGACACGCAGACAGTCTTAGCTGGACCTTCGTCGACGTCTGCTTTCCGTTAGATCGATCTTGATGGACAAAACTTCATGATGAAGAAGACTCTGCTTCTTTGTTTTATTCATGGTTTCAAGGTATATACGCCCATACTGTGCCTCTACCACTCACTGCCTCGTGTGTCGTCATAGTCAGTCTTAGCCATAATACTAATTTTCTTAAGGGCGGCGAGGACACGTTCGGCGTTGATTATCAATTCACCAAGGACCTGCGCGATTTGGTAGGGGAAGCTTTGCCAAAGGTTAATGTTGAAGTGGTTGTTTATCCCAAATATGAGACTCGTGGAGATTTGGGCAGTTGTGTGAGTCGCTTCCGCGACTGGTGAGTATTCCTTGCTGGACTGCTGCTGTTCCAACGGCATTAGCTAAAAGTGATTGCTATAGGCTTCAGGACAAGGTCATCGACATGGAGGTCGCAGCTGGCACACCGTCGCCAACGATAGAACCTTCAGTGCGAACCATCCTCGTCGGCCATTCCATGGGTGGCATCGTGGCGGCCGAGATGCTCATCGGCTTGGCTTCTGAGAAGCCTATCTACACAGAAGACGGCATTCAAAAGTCTGAGAAACCAACTTTCAATTCCCTCATGTTTCCCTACATCCAAGGTGTTCTCGCCTTTGATACTCCTTATCTTGGCATATCTCCTGGCGTGGTAGCTCACGGTGCAGAGGATCAGTACCAAAACGCTGCGCAGGCTGTAGGTGCAATATCGCAGCTGAGCGGCCTCGGAGCATCACTCTGGGGCGCCAAAACAGCAGGCTCCCCTTCAACATCGCCCGCTCCCCCGAAGATAGCCGGAGCGCTGCCAGCTCCCTCCGCATCTGGTGGCAATTCATGGCAAAAATGGGGCAAAATGGCCATGTACGCTGGCGCAGCTGGAGCGGTAGCAGCTGGAGGTGCTGCAGCATGGATGAAACGCGACCAACTGGGTGAAGGTTGGTCTTGGGCGTCGTCGCATCTCGAATTCGTGGGATGCCTTGCTAGAGGAGAAGAACTGCGCAAACGAGTGGCGTGTCTTCTTCAGTTGCGAGAAGAGTTAGACGTGGGTTTCGCCAACTTATACACTCGCCTTGGTAAAGCAGCGCCGTCGAAGCAGATTAACGTCGTTGGTACCGTACTGGGACAGGACAGGACATTCTGCAACCTTCCCAAAAAGCAGCCCGGAGGGGTGTGGATGGAAGCCATCAACAACAAGGCAACGGATGAGGCTGGAGCACATATGAGTAAGTTAAGCCGCTCGAGGGTGAATCGTTATACTGAGACTGTTTCCAGATATGTTTACGCCGAGAGAAAACCCCGGGTACAACAAACTGGCACAGGATGCCACTGAAGTGATTCGTGGGTGGTTACAGAACGGCTGGTATGAGACGAGTGCTGAAGAACCACTCCTGTTGCAAGAAGCACCATTGACTGAGGATGGTCTTTCGCCCGAGACTCCAGACGTCGAAAAGACTGTTTGACCTGCTGGATTTCTGTTTCCCTAATTAGATAGATCTACCCCTATACTATACAAATACATGAATCACATCGAGATAGTTCTTGGTTCCCCAAAGTCTTCCAGCTGTATGCTATTCAGTGACATTCTTCTCTCTTCTTTTCTATACCGTCTAGATTCCTTTTATTGAGCCTTCTGACCCTGAGCTTTCAGATTTCGCATGACCTTGCGCCTCTGGCTCATCATATATGTATACAAGACATAAGATCCTATGCAAAGTTAGGGTTACAGTCACACACTCAGTCTCTTTTAGCTTACCAGGAACATAGATAGCCAAGATGGCGTAAAGTGCCCACTTATAGAGTTCGTTAATGTGGCCCGCAGGCTCAGTAGCGAACCAGATGAGGGTGCACTCGCTGAAGATTCCAATGGGGTAGAGCACAAAGAAAGTGTTGTAACGCAACCAAGTAAGAAACTTGGGCTGGTAGCCGGACAGCGAGAGAGCGAAGAAGGAATAGCGGATGATCTCGGTGACGGACCAAGCGATGAGCATGGACGAATAAAAGGGCGAGAGGGCCAGGAAGGGGAAGACGTCGACGATGGCCCAGACGAGCAGGAAACGTGAGGCGACCTGCATAAGAGTGGTCATAAGGGGAGCGCGAACGACGCCTGCAGGGGGCATTTTATGTTAATATATACCACAATGTCAAGGAGCAGGAGAATCATACCGAGCAGCGAATGCAGCACCTCCAACCCAGCCAAAGTCTGTGTCCATTTTGTATATTGGCCAGTATTGGGATAGACGTACTCAGGTCCATAGGCACTGACAAGCATGGCGGTGCGGCCGAGCACAACGGACCATAGCACAGCTGAGATGAAGTTGTAGAAGATCAGATAGGCCTTGTTTGCTGTTGAAGCCTGTTTCAGGGGTCGCTTTGCGGCCGCAGTATTGGAGGCCATTGCTGCTGAGATATGGGAGTCGGGAACTTCAAAGTCGAGCAGTAGACTACAGCTGGATCGAATGAGTGACTGCGAGTTAAAGGCAAAGTTGGAGCCTTGTGTTAGTGTGAGTGTTCACGATGGAAAACGGATGTTGAGGATGCCATTTAATAAAGAAACCTCGAAATTCCTTATTAGGCTTAGCGCCTCGGTGTTCAGTGTTTTTGATGGGGATAGCGAGTTGCCTAACCCACTGCAATCCAGATTCACATGCTAACGAACATCTACACTCTACTCTCTATGAGACAACATTATCACAATACTTCACCTCATTGCTCTAGGGTAAGAAATTCCTTCTTGAATCATACTTTGGCTTGTCTCGTACTAATACTACGCCATTTGAATGCAGAGGTACTCTAAGAGCGAGGTCTGTGCGTGCTGACCATGATGTTCTCAACAGAGTCGACTCTCAATACGTCGCAGTCAGTCTCTGGACCAAGTAGTCACCACTGTTGATACCCTCATACTTCTTATCTTTCTCCGTACCGAACGTCCCCGGAATCGCCTCAATATAGCTTCTGAAGTTGGGGTTACAAAAGTATCTGCCACCAAGTTAGTCTGACAACGCCACAGGTAAAACACTACTATACTCACGCAATGCTGTAGCGAGGTGGGTAAGATTCAGCTTGCTTCTGCGGTGGCTCAACAACTCTATGAATAGTGCTCTTGATGGTATCGTTGCTCCATCTCGCAAGCAAGTCGCCGGCATTAACGACGACTGTGCCTTCGATTGGTGTCGCATCGACAAATTGTCCTGTTGGACTCTTGACTTGGAGTCCCCCTCGAGCATCCTGGAAGAGAAGAGTGATGGATCCATAGTCCTGTTCTGGGGTTAGGGCGAAACTCGTATGGTCAGGAGAACTTACGCTATGTGCACCAGCTCGAACGGTGCCTGGATTCGTTTTGAAGATATTGGACTGAACGGCTGGATAATGCAATAGCCGCAGCGTATTGTCTCCGACGTCGACAAAAGAGTCAAAGAATCTATCATCGAGCCCCATTCCAACAGCAATAGCCTTCATGACCTCCACGTGCAGTTGGCGGCACTGCTCAAAGAATCCAAGCATGTCCTTTCGAAACCCAACAAGGTCGCCGGTTTCTTCAAGCCATCTATTCGGATATCCGGGCTCATCTTCACGGCCAATCTCGAGACTCTCTTTCAAGTCCGGCAAAGCAGCACGCACTTTCTCAACCTCCTGGATATCCTTGAGCTGACTGACTTTCTCGCGCCCAGGGGCTGAATAGCCTCGGTTTGCCTCTGGAGTTGTCCAGACTACCCCCATCTTCTTCTCCAGGGGCTCATTGAAGAAGCGGGCTGATAGATTAAATGCATGCTGTAAGTCTTTGGGAAGGATGGGATGGTTTTTGAGATAGATGAATCCAGCTGTTTTGAAACCGTCAAGAATGGCATTGGCTGTTTCATTACGCTCTACGGGAGTTCCGCTGAGGAAGCGCGAGAAGTCAATGAGCTTGAAACAGGAGAGGCTTAGTTGGTAAGAGTTGCAGTCTGCTGGGCATTGGATTACTGACGGGAATTGATAGACCCTCCTTGCTCACAGCTAAACCTGAGGCCATGGCAATAGCACTCGTAGAGGGAATATAGTCGAGAGGAAAAACGAATAGAAAGGAATTGCAGTATTTCAAAACAGATTGCAAAGAAAAAGAGTCGTGGGGGATGTCTTTAAGTTTGCCGGCATCTGCTAGCTACATATACATAGGCACAACACCTCTAATACAGGCCGATAAGCGTGACGGCACATTCCTCGAGTTGGCAATTAGAAACGAAAGAGGCTTACCGGCGGCCAACGCCTAACCCCTCAACGGTTACTGATAAGCGGGTGATAGGACTTCGCAAGGTTATAGTGATAACAGCCATGCGGGGTTGGTATCAATCTCAATCGCTCCCCAGTAGCATCTTATGCGTGTCTCTCAACTTGGGTAAACCGATTTGTTGATCTGCAACGTTGCTGCGGCTTGGCCCGCAAGAGCTGATAGTGAGTGTGTGCTGGCTGTGCCTCGTCCAGACATTCTAGTTTGCTTCTTTACTCACTCGGAGCTTTGTGCAATTTCCAATCTCACACTTCTACCATTGCCTCTTCTCAGAAGCCGAAAGACCATGTCGTCCTCTTCCCCCCTCGTGGTAGACATACACACACACATGTACCCTCCCTCATATATCCGAATCCTGGAATCGCGTTCTAAAATCCCCCTCGTCCGCAAGTTTTCTCAAGCACCTGATCCAAGACTCATCCTTCTGGAGGCTGAGGTCAAAGCATTGGAAGAAGCGACACAAAACCCTGAGGCAAAACCACCCGGACGGCCTCTAACGTCGCACTATGCATCACTTGCGCAAAAGTTGCACTTCATGGATACGCACAGGATTGATATATCTGTCATATCCCTAGCGAACCCGTGGCTAGACTTTCTAAGCCCTTCAGAGTCCGGCGCAATCGCGCAGTCCGTCAATGAAGAATTCTCGCGCATGTGCAGCGACAACCCTGGAAGACTCTTTTTCTTCGGAACACTTCCTTTGACAGCAGCTCTCGAGACTGTGCTGGCCTCTATAGAGCATCTTCGGATCCTCAGATACTGCCGTGGGGTCATCCTGGGCACTTCAGGGCTCGGGAAGGGCCTAGACGACCCTGATCTTCTCCCCATCTTCGAGGCTCTCGCAACAACAGGACTAACTGTTTTCCTACATCCTCACTACGGTCTCCCGAATGATGTCTGGGGACCTCGAGCGAGCGCCGAATACGGCCATGTGCTTCCCTTGGCCCTCGGTTTCCCTATGGAGACAACAATCGCCGTCGCCAGGATGTACTTGGCTGGTGTTTTCGACAAAGTCCCAGAACTGCGCATGATCCTCGCTCACAGTGGTGGAACCCTGCCTTTCCTCGCTGGCAGGATCGAAAGCTGCATCGCGCATGACGGGCAGCTGCTTCGTGAAGGCAAGCTAACCAAGGACCGCCGAACAGTGTGGGAGGTGTTGAGGGAGCAGGTTTATCTTGATGCTGTTATTTACTCAGAAGTTGGGCTCAAGGCGGCTGTCCAAGCTAGCGGTGCTGATAGGCTTATGTTTGGCACAGATCACCCCTTCTTTCCACCACTTACGACTGATGAACAGGGGGAATGGGAGAGCGTGAGCCTGAACGCAGAGGCCGTTGCTCTTGCAGTGGGACAAGACACGGGGGACTTCAAGAACGTTATGGGGATGAACGCTGTCAAAATATTGCGGCTCGACGCAGAATCGTGATTCTAGGGGCATGTATTAGCGCGAGATAAAACACTCCTTGTGTATAGACATAGCTACCAACCTTATTCCGTGTCCTTTCTCTAAAAGACTTTCCCAGTTACGAAACAGATGCATGCTCCGCAAATCGAACCTCAGCCTGGTGTATCCTCGTTTTGGCATCAAGTAGACCTTGCTCCGCTTGTTGGTACTCTTCAGGGGTCGCTTCTTTCTGCTGTAAATTCCTGACTGCCTGAACCGCGCGGAGTTTGTCGCAAACAAGCTCCCAGTAAAATTTTTGTTCAGTACCGAAGTCAACCGGGAAGTCGCCTGGTACATCCATGGCACCATTGATCGGTCCAGATGCAGGCTTGCCGTCTGCAGCCTCCGCGGCCCTTCGTGACTTGCGCAGAAACTTCTCTCTCGCCTCGTCCTGTTTCTTCTTCTCTTTCTTCTCCTTCAGTCGTCGGCGTGCTTCCGCAAGGTCTTCGACTTCTTGCGCAGCAGCGGCTTGGCGCCTTTCCTCCTCCTCGCGCATGCGTCTCTGTTCAACCAATCGTGACCTCTCCTTCTCGATCTCTTGCTTCTCCCGCTGCTCCTTTTCCTCTCTCTGTACCTTCCAAGCATTCTCTCGCGCCTCGAGGTCGTCAACGAAAGCCTTGCGCTGCTTGTCCATGGTCTCGCGCTCTTGTTTTCGTAGCAGGGCAGCCTTGATGGCGCCGTCATAAGCGCCGCGCGCCCCTGGCTCAGATAGGATGTCGCGGGCGCGTTCGAAAAGCTGCCATTTTTCCGCATCGAAGTTGTCGCCTGCTTTGTCGGGATGGTATTTCAGAGATCGCTTGCGCCATGCGCGATGGATGTCTTCCTTTGGTGTTAGGGCATCGATGCCGAGAAGTTCATAGAGGTCTACATCTTTGGAAGCATATTCTTGAGCGAATTGCAGCAAATCGGCGGCTTTTGTGTCAGACATATTGAGCCTGCTGGATCATATGTTGCTCGTAAATAACTGTTCGAGTGTGTGGAGAAAGGCAGAAGCTTAGACAATAGACAGGCTTGGTTGAAGAATCACGAAAGCACGTGACCTCAGAACCATGAAGCCTTTGAGATGGGACTGTATTTGATAAAAGACTATTAAGATGGATGAACATCTTGTGTCTCAAACAATCCACTTATTATGACTGACTTTCCAAATGCGAGGCGTTGGCGCCTCGTATGGCCCAAAACATATACCCATCCTAAGCGTCAGAAGACTTGCTAAGGTCTTAGACCTGGGTGAGAAAATAAACTCTTCAGAGGGTATGCTAAACTCATCATAAGATATCATAAAATATTATAATATTATCTAAGTCTTTTCACCCCTTAGGACTTAGTCAGAGGTTTTCTGCCACCTCCTAGCCATCAAGCCAGGGCCTTCAACTATTTATCGTGTCCGCAAAATGATACACATTCGGTGATCCTGCTGACAAGTTGAGTAAGTATCGTTCATAGGGTCCTAAAGGCTCTTCAACCATTATTCGTTGTCTTGTCTCTTTGGGGCCATCACTCTCGTTGCCGACGTATTCCCAAACCCATCGCCCCTTCGACCAATCGTTAGGATGGCCCATATGATCTTTTCCACCGTTCGGACACCAACCAGGCTGGAATGGAACTGGATCGCTATATTTCTCCCGCGTTCGTTTGAGTTTCCAGTTACTGAGCAAAGCTGGGCAGTCCCAGACGTGCTCATCATTCAAGCCGAGACCTTTGCAGGCAAGCCTGATTCGTACGGAGCTGTGTATTCGCTCGTTTGTATCAAGAAGGTATCTTGACTTATCGCATTTCGATTGGCGGTCAGTTGGTCTATACAGACCTGGTGTACGAACTGTTTGGCCAGAGAGTTTGTAGAGGAGGCCTGGAGCTTTACTTATTGTCCCCAGTCCCCAAGGCCTAAATGGGCGGTTGTTCTCGTAGATTGGGTTTATTGCCCACTGGCGCTTCTTTGTTTTCTCTCTCCTCTTCCTCGACTTTATGCTGAGTTTTGAGGGGGTCTTGTGGTAGAATTTGAAGTTCTGGAAGAAGCATCGTTCCAGTGCAGGGAGGTCGAACTCAACCCCAATGGAAGCCAGTTGGTCCATCATCCCTATTTCCAAGTCAGTGTCTAGGTACAAGGTAGTTTGGCATAAGCTGCAAGGAATCCTCACATGCAAGTGTGATGTTTGACATGCCCTGATCTTCCCATCCGCCACCACAGTTACCATGGTTCCCAGGAAACCATACCTGCCTGAGATCCGTTGTATATTTGTTCTCCGGGAGCCTCTCCCAGACCGCTGGTGTGAAGGGGGGTCTTGTTTCATCCAGGGCGAGGGCCTGGAACGCATGTTCGATTCTATCTGACAGATTTGTGTCATGCCACTTAAACGTAAGAAGCTGGTCAGCAACCCGAGTTCTTGAAGATTGGGAGGTGAGACTTATTCGTCATTGTCGGCACGAATTCCCAGTTTCTCCAGCCATAAAACTCTAGGAATTCCGAGGCTACCCACGGTATCCCAGACGCCCACTGCTTTAATGGTGATGATGTCGCCTTCTCCTTCACTCCGCCTCACACGAGTGTAGCCGAGTTGCTCCAAGCGAGCCCTGTAAGCGTCTGCAGCGTCCTTCCCTTTGGGTTTATTAGGGAATGGAATGTTAGGGAAGGGATCTTCATAATCATCGTCCATCCAATGCTGCATATCTTTGAAGATAGGATAGAAGAACTCAACACCTTCCCGCGTGAGTAGGCCTAGATTGCCAATCATGCCTGCCACAGAACGGACTGTAAAGGCACCTCGGGAGAAACCAACAAGTATTATTTCATCGCCATCCATATAGTTGGAACATAAAAACGAATATGTCTCCCGCATACGCTAGAAGAAACGGTCAGCCAATATCCTTCATTCTGATGCTCCGACAACCCTCACCTCTGCGAGTCCCATACCAAAAGCGCCGCCAGTAATACTATCGAGTACGTTGCTACCTGTACCAACACCTGACTCATAGTTGACAACTTGAAGCTTGCCATCGCTGCACCTCTTCTCAAAGCAACGGGATATTCGAGTAACGTTAGAAGGTATCTGAAGAGAGCCTTCTTTTCTTAGCAAGCCGGCTTCTTCGTAGCCATTGTCACTATCCATCCAGGTGCCATCGCAACAAGCGATCAACCGCTTGATGGTCTTAGGGGCAGTTTCTGTAGCCATCGTAGAGATACAATCCCGCGGGACGTGCGTTTCAGACGTCAAGAAAATAATGAGATGGTATTCGTAAACGATGGTTACGATGTAAGAAGTTCAGTGCGGCAGCTTCGACTATTAAATAAGTCCAGAACGGCATAAAACAACGATGAAGGCTGAAGACTCACAAATGCATCACCGAGCCGTCAAATGTCAGCTCCTGAGAACTTTGCCATCCATGAGATAAATTAAGCGACAGGCCAAGACTATCCCCGGTCTCAACCACAGGGCTGAGGCTCGCGAGATTACATAGTGTACAGTCAGACGACGATCCAGGTGTTAATTTCAACCTTCCAGCAAGCCAAGGTCGCAGCAAAAGTACTTAATTCGAGGTCGCTGGTTTAATTCAATTGCAAGACTGATCAAAGTCCGCGAATGGGCTTTTGCAACCCGGCCCTTGTTGTACAGAGACATGGTAAAGTTGGGGTCCGCAGCAATGCAAGCTGTTGCTTACTGCCTGTTTACCTGCTAAAGAGGGCAAACACAGCGACTTGAGCCCCTTGTCCAACAAGATACCGATCCACATAAGGCGTAAGGGCTAACTTGCTACGTATTTTCAGTGGTCAACTTCGCGATGATCTTGTCCCTGACTCTATGTCAGACTAGCCCAGGTGAGCCTTCTCACTGGCTAATATAACCTCAATCCTCAAGGTACTCTTGTTGGTCAGCATCGTTCAGTTTTCGCTCCAACTCGAATTCTGTGCATAGCCACGATGCCCTGAAAGAAACACTGTAGCCTTAAAGTGCGATGATCAATTCAAGGGCTCATGACTGGTGGCAGTGTGAGCTTGCGCCATGCCTCACAACTTTATATACTTACCTATATTGGGACATGGAATCAACGTCCTACACGGACCAGTACATTTACTCCAGAGTCAACTCACCTCTGAAGGCTATCATGGAATACCTTCCAACGGATTGGTTCGGCCGTTGCCTTGTCCAGGAAACGTAGTTAGGAGGATCGCATGATCCGATTATTCCGCCGTGCTACTGTAATAATATGATACTATCGTGGACCATCTTTTCATGGCAAGGTGTAACCACTGACAAGGGCTCTGTCTCAAGAACAAGGTACAGTTTGGCGATGAGCCAAGCGCTTGATAAAAACAAAGAAAGAATCTTAGTGAATATATTCAGATCTGCCTCTATCTGAGACTTATAAGTATTGTATTTATACAGTATTTTACAGCACAACTTCATGTTTACTGCTCTACTTTTCATTTCTCTGATTCTCAGCATCGAGCCCTCCTCTCAACCAATCCGGCACAAAAGCTTTAACCTTTACTCTATTGCGGCTTTCCTCCTCGCCCCAGTCTAGCACAAACTCGTCCTCGGGGTTGAAAGCTCCCGACGCCGCATCTCCCGGCAGTGTCACATCAGTCATGATCTCGAGGCGGCACAGCCCGAGCCCAATGTTTCCCACACCCTTGAGCCACTTGCCGGCGCTTCGACCTCTTTTCTCAAATCGTCCGATACTTGTGTCTCGTGGTATCATGTCTGCGGTCACACTCTCGAGAGAAGACGTCGTATCGTCTGCGTGATACTGAAGTGTTGTCGGCGGTGCATGCTCCTTTTCGTAGACTACACAGGGCAGAATTCGTTTGCGAACTACACCACGATGTCTAGTGCGGATTGTAAGTTCCTGACCAACATAGCAGCCTTTGTGGAAATCGATTCCTTTCATAATATCCATATTCGTTTCCTGAGGAAGAGCATGCTCTCGAGATATTTCATCTTGACCTTCGGGAATACCATTTAGGTATCTTCGTATTGTGTAAGCTTCCTGAGTGCTTGGTTCGAGATCGATCTGGGGAGGGTGCTGATCCAGTTGCAGTAGCCGATATCCCAGACCAGGGGCTCTTGGATCCTGAAGAGAAAAGTTGGCCGACTTGACGATTGAGCTAGAGTTCGCAGAATTTGAGTCATCCCACGCATGCCAAACTGTCGCCTCATCATTTTCCAATAAGCGAACGGCTAGCTTTGCTCTGAGCTTGTAACGCTTAATATGTTTCGCGAGCGTAGATGCTTGGTCTGCATCAACTTCAATCAGATACCCTGGCTCCTCGGCCGAAGCTCCCGAAGTATTGTGATTTGGGTAGATGAACACATCGTAGAGTACTCTGCCAGTCGCAGTCAGGAAAGCAGCATAGAACCCATCACTCCTCGGTTTTCCATCCTCCGTGGTCACGTTGGCAGTCACAATTCCCTGCAGAAACTTTGCTGAGTCTGGGCCGGTGACGGATATGAGCCTTCGTGAAGTCAACGATGTGTATCCGGAAAGAGGCGGCGGGGGAGGAGAAAGCGAAGTCGCGAATTGGCGCCGTTGCAGCCGGTAAGTACGGCATATGAGGCCCGGAGAAAGATCGTGGGCGAGTGCTCGCCTCGGGAGAAGTCGCATGTTGGCGAGTGTGCGGTTTTATCAAGACGTCGACTTGTTTTACACTGAGAAGGCCATTGATTTGATCGACGAAAAGCTACACAATGACGTACTGACAACGCTTGGTCCGTGCATTTGGCTCGCTCACGGACTTCGGACTTTGGCAATCCACGAGAACAAGATCTACATTCTGATCCCCCAAGTCCGAAGTTTATTATGCGGAGGAGTTTACTGCTTATCCTTATTCCCGAGCTTCAGTCGGTATGGTCTTTAAATATCATTTAACTAATGGCCATCAACTAATATCGTGGGTGTATCGTCAGAGCGGTCAGCATTAGCCATGAGCAACTTAGGTGGTCAGCAATATTTACGAGAGCTCTGAGATCAGCAATTGAATTAATAGCCAAGAGATGGTGCTTAGATGATGCCCCACGTTGTGATTATTGTCTTTGTTCAAAACATATCGTGAATGCTAGCCCGTTGACTGGCTAGCCCCATACCGAGTCGTCTCCCAGTACGTCAGCAGCTCACCCTCAAAACTGGCAATAGATAACATACAAGTAGTGTGCTGTGGTGATCAGCAGACCCCTATGTTAGACTCAGCGTTAACTAGTCAAGCTTATCAGAACCGCCTGGTTTGCTCCCGCAATCCCGATAGCAGAAGGCCTATTACCTAGGTGTTTCGGCATGAGATCAAGTCCATCTCGGTCACACAGGCCACTTCCCCGGACTCGTCTAAATCCCAGCGGCCTGACACCTGAAAAGCCAATGGGACGCGTTCCTGAAGTCCGATTTCCGGCCCGGGATTGCTCGGAGTGGAAAGCGGAAAGATGTGGGCCATTTTCAGGTCCTGTGACCGACCAACGCCGGCCGATACGACGCCGTGGCTCCAATAATGTCCGTATCGGACCTTGTGTGAATTTTATCGATAGGTGGGCTTGCCTGGCTTGCGCAAGAGTTACAGATCTGATACAGAGAACGCGCAATATAGACCCAGAAAACGCACAAGGTTCCATGAAGAATCTATGTGTTGAAAGATTGCGTGTATGTGACAAATTCACCATTCTCTCATTCGATCCTCGCATTCTGATACTGAGTATTGGAGCATACGCGTATGCGTAACGAGCGATAATGAGCGATAACTAATGAACAGGGGCCTATCTGGTCTTATCAATCTCATGATCTGTGATCTTCCATCTAACCCCGGCTTCCCCCCAAACTCCTTCTAGAGATCGACTTTTAGCTCAACGGACAATGCTTCCGAACACGAAGGCTCAAGCTTCCCCTTCCTTCTCAGCTACGTGGTTATTGTTAAGAAGACCGTGCATAATCATACATAATGCCATGGCAAAAGGTCCAGACACCTCGCTTAAGCATGAAGCAGTCAATTCTCCTTTACCGCCTCTATCAAGCCAGTAAGGGGCTAGCTGAGCACATTCGTTCGCAAACTGAGTCGATAAAGGTGCATAGTACGTGCTTGAAACCTTACCTGTACAATGTCCTGTCCAGTGCTGTCCTGCCAGGTCAGCCGTCGGTGAGAGGCCCAGAAGCGGTCAGCTCAGCTTGCTTGAGCAAGACACGCCCTGGGCCCTTGCATGGTGAATGGTATGTACCTGAGATTATGGGGCCGCGAGCCTCTCGGCTAAGAAAGCCAAGAAGGCAACGAGAGGCTATTAGTGGGTAATGAGATCGAGTGGCTAGGAAACGTGTTCATGAATTTTAAGGAATAAGAAAGAAAACTCGCGTCCCTTCTTTCCCAGGTCCATCTCATCGTGATGCACCGGACAGGAGAATTCATATTGGGCGTCTTGTCTCTGCCTAAGTAATGGAGCCCTGACCCGTCAGTACGTAAGGTTTTAAAGAATTCAACTCTAAAGCGGAGACGACCCGCGCACGCAAATTTTGTCATGGTTCTATCCTTGTTCACGATTGAGTTGTCTATGTCGACTTTTCGTAAAATATTTGAAAAGTCTGAAGAAAACCACCACCTGTGGAACGCTGGATCCAGTTGGACCCATTTGAGGCTCGATGCGGCGATGGCTGGTGGGGGATGATGAAAAACTACTGTTAGTGGAAGATCGAAGCATAAAAAGATCGTAATATTGGGCATTGAATGACTCCTCAGGGATGTTCTGATAGTTCTGCCAAGCCTGTATTCGTAAGTCCTTCTCCTTCAGCCAAGGGATGGAAATGGCGGGCGGGCTATGCGGCCTGGGCGGTTTCGTCCGTCTGTAATTTTTGCCTGGGCTTTTTTCTTTTTGTTGTCATCACGGGCCATGCTTCTGCGCCCTGGCGTCGTCGTTTCCAGCCATCGGGGCTTGGTAATGTCCGCTGATAGTCATTGTCATGATTGATGTCAAACGAGCCTTTCTTCGACTACTGCTATGTCGCTGACATAGCAAGAATGGAGAATTGAATGTCTCCGCTGACAAAACTCCGACCGTTATAGACGCCCCAATGTGTACAGTTCATGTATCGTGATTGGGTATCACAAACCCTGATGGTTGGGACGTCAAGGTCTTTGGTGATGGGCGGGCCTGGCTGATGAATCATTCACCGCAATCGAAGGAAAAAATCTATAGAGCAAAAGGGGCGTGCATTGGAGGAGTCGGTGTAGCACTGCCAAGATTCCGCACGCCCTTGACGGGTCTCACGGGCACCGCCTGTTGGTCCAAAGACACCCCGATCGGACTTGGGCTTGCGACCGATCCCGATACTCTCAGTTATCACGAAATTTTTACCGCTGATAAGGATATCAGCCGGCGAGTATGGCGTCAACGCCGGTTACCATGAGATAGCCGGCTGCTGACCGAGGCATAGCATAGTATGGTTCACAGTTTGCAAGGAGATTCAAGAATGATATGATAGTTTTGAATGTTTTTCTTGTTTATTTTTTTGGGCTAATGAAAGCCTCTTTTGCTGAGCTATCTACCATTGGGGCGAAGCCTATCGAAGGCTGCCACTCAACCGTATTGCCGGGAGCGGCACCCAATCATGATAATATCCAATTCCCATCTGTCTGGTACAGTCCCTTCTTTGTCCTTCGTAGAGTGGTGAAATCCTTCTTTGTAATAACACAATGAAAACCGTAAAGTCATATCCTTTGTAACTAAAAGAAAATGCAAAAATGCTTTTTGTTGTATCCAGATCCGTGTGGTATCCCTTTGTATAGTAAACGCCATGCAATGCCGCCATCGCTTTGTATGTGAAACAAGTCGCTAAAATCACAAATCAATCATCGAATGAGTTCCCGCTTAGTAGACCGAGATGGCCGACACAAGCCTCGCAGGGTTTCGAGGTGGCAGGTAGTACTCCTCATCGTAGAGTGAATTGGATTCTTGTTCTTGTTGCGACTGCTCCTTAACATCCTTCTCGTCGAAGGTGAGGATGGACTGAGGCGGCGATGGAGGCATTGAGTCATCGTCAGATGAATCTGAGTCGTGGTCGACAAGCTCGGGTGGCGAGTTGGAGTGAGATGGTGTTCGAACAAGCTCTAGCTGAGCGTAGTCCTCCTCAAGATCATCCTCCTCCATGTCTTCGTCGAGCTCGATGTGTGTGATTCGGGGGCTCATGGGCTTGACGGGAAGAGAAGTGCTGGTCATCTCGACGTCGTCATCCTCTGAATCGTAGTCGTCGGAATCCGAAGAGTCTGAGTCGTAGTCATCCTCATCCTCTTCTTCGACGATGTTGTCGGCCCACTGCACCCTTCGTTCTTGCTGGGCATTGGTTGCTCCTCGGACGGATTGGTTGAACCATCGTTCTTGTTCTCGCTCAGCATCGGCAAGCTCGAGCATCAAAGAATCGAGGAGATTGGCGTGACCGACAAGCAGGCGGAGGTCATGATCGGGCTGAGCAGCCTCGCGAGAGAGCTTGGCTCGAGCCTTGTGGGCGAGGTAGTAAGTTTGTGTGATAGACATGTTCTTCTTGAGTGTAGACTGTCGGAGAGAAGAAGTCTTAGAGGCAGTTGGCCTATGAATGGAAGTGGTGGTTGTTGTTGTAGTCGACATATTGAAAAAGAGGACCCAGATAAGGTAGGGGTCTTTGTCCTATGTATATAATGGCGGTTTGATGTTGTGAGTCAAGGCAGCGATCCCGATTGCGGCAGGCTTGAAGTTAGCGCAGGAATGTCGGCTGTGGTGACAATGACTTGTGGGATTAGGTGATAAGGTGCTAGTCGAGTCCGTGTGTTTGTCTGAGAGGACTGTGGAGATAGTTGACCTTGATAGAAGCTTTTGAGGCTGATTAGTAGTTGTTGTGTTTATCTGATTGATGTTGTGGGAGAAATGGATCTTGGAACGGGGGGGATCCGAATCTTTTAACTCCAGTGATCCTTTACGGACTTTTCATGTTGTCTCACGGGTGTGGCATGGGATTATGAGTTATGCCCGACACGCCGCTAAGCGGACTTTGCGCACGCGGACCCGAGGAGTGCGAGAAATGTCCACAGTCCCCATTGCAAAGCAAGGGCCAAGGTTCGAAGGGTGTGTGGCTTAGTGATGATTGACATGGATGTGGGTGTGTGTGGACGGATGACTCTTAGACACCGCGAAGCCGCGAAGCTTAGAAAGATCCACCCAAAAGGCTCCCACGGCACATCGATTTGCACATGGCCCCTGTACCTTTCTGTCGTTTACTGGATGACATGACTGACACGACACGTCTCTGTCTCTGTCTCTGTCTCCATCCGGCAGCGAAACATCCCCGTCCGCGGCCCCGATGTAGCGGGCGGACGTTACGGAAGTCCATGTCAATCCTCGGGCTTGGGTACCTCGGTCAGGCCGCTACTTGACAGCCCCAGCACAGGTATCTCTTGTATGATGTGTACCCGAACTGGGCAGGCGGAGGTTCACTGCCCTGGATTCTTCCATGCCGTGTCCCTCAATTCTTTGTTAGAGTTGTCGCAGCGACTGCATCTTCCGGCTATCAATACCGGCTTACAGTACCAATCTCAGTCTTACTGGCAGTCTTACATGGTAGCAACTGTACTCCTCTCCTCAATGGCGCAACAAGCCCATTACTTTCACCATAACTCAGAGCGAAACATGCTCAACTGTAAGGTCAGCACTGCCAGCACACGCATCGAGTCGCAATCTCGCACAGGGCTGGCGTGGGCGATTCATAATCGCAGGCTGGTTTTCCAGGTCCGTAAGCAGCCTGCAAATGTGTGTTTGATTAGAAACCCGGTGCCATTAGCGTTGACTCTTCAGCCTACCACAGTCGTTAATCTGACCATGTCCGTCTAGCTCCGCCAGAACCACGACAAATCCGAGGATGGATTTGCAAGCCTGCTCTTCAGGAACCTTACCTAAGGCAGATGCATTTCTCAGCATTGAGCGAACCTTATTCGTTCTTTGCGCCCTGTCGGTGTCGCGATCATCTCTGACTCCGATACGGCGATGACTCTTGCTGCAGAATCGATTTCCTAGATGGGATAGGCAGAGATCAAGGTGTGACGCTGATTTACAAACGCTGCATGCTGGCTCAGCAACAACATACTGACACGGACGGGAATTTGTATTATCTCCATGCATCCATCAAGACCAAATCCAAGACAACCTCTTGCATCCCGTGCCTCCATCTAAGAGTTGAGTTCCCGTCACGATGATACGGAGGATGACCTCCATTTTTTCTAATCCCCCTACAGTGAATGCCCGCTAGGCCCAGCCCAGTTCAATTGGATGCTTATGAATCGGCGACTCGCCAAAACTAAATTCGTAACGACTGTCTGAGTATGCTCCGCGTCAATGTTGGCGAGTTTCACATAGTGGCCGATTGATCAGTCCAGATTGCGTATTCCGCTTCGCATCGTGTACCCTGAGGCATAACTCCGCCTCATGTGCTTGTCGTCAGCAGCCAAGGAATCATAGGGCATACTTCGAAAGGGGGAGCTTGTTCCAGACAGCAAACGTAAGCGAAAGCGAGAGAGTGTACCATGGTAGGGTATCGTCCAGTAACAACGCACGATGCTCACTGTGCCCGAGCCTGGCGCAGTCCGCGGGGAGTATGTACGTCCTTGTCCACGTATCGCTGTAATCAATCGTAGGGCTGAGCTCAGTCGGCCGCCATCAAATCCATGCATGGATGTCGGCTTTGTTGTCAAAGACCGAATTATGGTATACGAGCCAATGATGGCCAGCAGACATGTCAATCACCACCATCATGTTCAACGATAACGAGCAAGAAGTAATCCAAATCTCTATACAACTTATGCCTCATAGTCACTTGATAAGCTTTTACCAGGCAACTCTCAAGCTGTTCTCGCTTTCGTCGTTTGAAGATCTAAGTCAGTACCAACCTATTGTATTGCCAGCATGTTTGTGTAATATGATTGCCTATTTTTAAAAATTAGGCAACTCTTTTCTCCCAGGTATTTCTCCGCCAAACAGTATCATATTCCATATTAGCTCTTATCCTTGCTGTGCGTATGCTCATGTGAAGTAAGCAAGTTTCTTACATCTAATCCGAATATCCGTAAAGACAGTCCTTTATTAGCTTTAATTCCCTCTTTGCTCGTTCCAACACTGTCAACTCGGCTACACGGCTAGCCTTAGACGGCCTCTTAATCGGTCCAAGATGATGCCGACTTACAAGAAGCCATGTTATTGCCGGACTAGGCCGGCCTATCCTGAATCCCGAGGTCGCCGACCACTAACCGTCCGTGACTGTCCGCTGGGCGGTCTAACGACGGGATTGACAAGAGTCACAGATTTCCAAACTCCGCTTTTCTGGAAATATTTTTCGTTCTTTTTCGCTTCCATCGCCGAAAGCGGCTCCACGATGGGTCGTACGGTGCCTCGCTAATCAACATCAGCCAGCTCGGCGGTACTCACATCGCGGATTCAAAGAATGGGTCTCTGTTGGTGTCGGACAACTCCTTGGGATGTTCATTGGATGCAGATTTCTTCGATTCATGTTCCACTGGAAGTCCCAGCCATGGATGTGATGCAGGTTGGGAAAAGAGCTCAATACGTCCGTTAACTCGGCTTCGACCGATGTTCGAAGAATTTTCTTCTGCATGGATCCTGGTTCGGATGATTTGATATCATTTGACTCATCAAGCCTCAGAACAGATGCATCGTAACTCGTACTCAAAGGGGTTTAACACCGACTAAATTCCGCGTATTCCCATGACGATGTGACACATCGCAACAGCTGCTGTAAATAACACAAGGCGCAGACTGTGCTTCACGCAGAGCGCCATAATTGGCGAGAACTCATCGGTCGTGTGCGGACCATTGACCGCTGGTCTGGTTAAGGTTGCCTACAACACAGTCAGCATCACAGCTTCGAAGGGCGGAGATTGGTGAGTGTCACGACCTCACGCTTAAAGAAGCCCGCCAGCCAGCGCCCGTCTGAGGCTCAGGCTTTAGGTCCAGGGACATATGCGTTAGCGTGGAAGCTTTCGAGGCCCATGCCGAATTTGGCTCATTAAGCGGATGGTCCCTAATCTGCTTTGTCAGTCAATTCCCCCGTCTTCTTCTCGGCCGAGGTTGATCAGGGTGTGTGCGTATCAGCGCCGAAAACCCTGCGAGACTGATTCCTAATCCGAGTATTGATGATATTATTGCTGAGTGAGAAGCTTCTACAAACTACGATGCATCCGTTTATTTCCCCTCCCTTGGTAGATCTAAGATTGCGAACCTACTACGTATTTCAACTTATCTTGACAAAATGCTCGTGTGAGGGTATCTGCCGCCAAGTAAGGTTGGTAGGTAAGTTTTCTGTCCTTGTGACTGACTTTCTGGCGGACAATTTTCGCTTTCGGGTGCACGAAACATGCCGAGCCCACTTGCACACCCAGACAGACACCTACGTATCAATCCGATCAGATCAGCAGGGGGATACTCACGACAATCTTTGCGCAGCTCACGGATTTCATAGTGGCCGATCTACCGAGAACGTGGGGAAGCAGACCAGGAACGTGGTAGGCATGATTTCCAGTTCTCAATTCTTTATTAAGAGCAGCAAAACCCCGGCGCTGGTGTTTACATCCTAGCCCCGAAGGATCCGTCGTCCACTGTCGCAGTTTTAGATAAACCCGTAAATTCCGATTTGCTTGACAATGTTATTTTATGTATTGATTTATGAGGTCTCATGACTTTATTCCCAAGACGATATTGTTGGAGTATATCGATGATTCCGAACTTGGGTCCAGTGTTGGCATTGAAGTCGATGACGTTAACGCTCGAGTACAGTTGAGCATGTCATTGACCCGCCAAGATTGATAATCTACAAAGCCAGGCGTCGTCCAGCTCAGGAACAACGCCACGAGCTACGTCGTCAGCGACAAATGTGATAGGAATACCACGCGATCTGGCTCTGTCGTATCCCTTACCCGGAAGAGACTAACTACCCATCGATCAAACAATTCGTCTGACAGCGAAGCAATCGGGGAGGCAATTCGAGGACTTTGCCATCTGGCTTGGCTCAGGTTGTCTAAACCTACGTCACTCCAGGGTATGCATTGATCGACGAAATTTCCCGATCATCAAGTCCAGTCTAGTTACCACTGAACTCAAGATCGGATCGATAGCAATGACGCAGGAGAGTAGCTCGATGTCAATTAGCATTTCTGTAAGGCTATTCAGCGAATCCGACCTGATATGCAAAGCTTGTGAGCAGAGTCTTGGATAACACGCTCGCGGTTGAGGATAAAACGGCAATGTCGGGCAACTATCAGCAAGCCGGCGCGATATCGGCACATATTGCCATTTCCAGTCCGGTACGCTGGGATGTTGCGATGACGGCACTCACAACAGAGATTTGGCCTAGGCGAGAAGCAGCTGATTCTACTCGGGTTTGCTGAGAATCATCACAAGCTCAACATAGATAGTTGTGAATAGCAGTCATCATCTTCTCGCAACGGGCGCGGATGATTAACAACAGAATCTTACAGATTCATTCCGGTAATTCGTTCTAAGTTTCCTTTTGAATGGGCCATGTTCGTCCATTGGCTTTGGGAACCACAACATATGATAACATCAAATACACGACTTCATATGTATCCATTGAGTATTGATGGTTGAACCGGCGCCCACGTCGGTGCCAGACATGATTCTGTGTTTACAAAGGTCAGGCATCTACTCAAGACTTCAGTATAAGCCAGCCTTGTTAGACATGCGCCTATATAAATTACTTGTTGTATGCCCTCAAGACCTTGGATGAGAGGCACAGCACGACCCTGTGTAATGTTACCACTGATGTTCCAGGTAACAATTAATGAAGACTTCGTATTGGCAAGGATATTGTCGAAAGGACAAGTGATCTTTTATAAATATGTAAATAGCACTAAAAACCCGTCACGTCTGGAAGTCGAGAACTTCATCCTATTGTTTATTTGAACTATGTTAAAGATAAATATAGTTGATAAAACTTCTAAATCAAAAAGTATGCCAAAAAGCATGAGTAAACACCCTATAACTAAAACATATATATCTCTTACTATCTTATTATACTGAATAATTACTTACTAAAGTAAAAGAAATAATACTTAATGAAGTAAGTAAATAATAATTAAATACATATATATATATATAACGATATTAAAACAGTCCAAACTTTAGAAGTATATTAAAATTACAGAATAGCCTGTCATTAGCAAGGAAGTTGGAGTTCACTTTCATGGTCAAATGTTCGAGGAGCCTTATATACTGGAAATTTCCACCGTCGGCCGTGAGCCCCCATGGTGTAGTGGTTTATCACGCAGCTCTTATATGTCCAAGACTTCATGGAGGTATGCTGAGGTCGCGAGTTCAATCCTCGCTGGGGGCACCAATTTACTTTTTTGCACTTTTCTGCTTATATCAACTACGCACCAAAGAAGTTGATCGTAAATTCTATGCAAAGAGTCGACATGGGATCCTTGGTTGTGCTTTTGGCATGGCTTTAAGCATGTGCAGTTCGGTGGAGCTCTGCGTGTTGCGCAAATGTCTACATGAGATGGATCATTAGCTTCTTGAAATCAACATTAAAAATACGCTTTTGTCTATCCACTTGATCCAGAGATTCCAATGCTTTATTCCACTCGCAACTTTTGCTTCGTGCGCTTTCGCTTGCCACCGACTTCCCTCCCTTCCTCTACCTCCAATAGAGCCTCGCGTTTCTTCTCTGACACGATCTTGAGGGCATCGCGAACCACGCGAGTCTCGAGATTGACGCCCTCTTCCTCCCAAGATTCCATATCACGGCCGACACGCTTTTCGATTGTAAGGGCCAGTTCCACGTCACGCTGGCCCACAAAGCTGACCGCCTCACCTTTGCGACCCGCACGGGCTGTACGACCGACTCGATGGATATAGTCATCAGGGTCGCGTGGGAGATCATAGTTGATAACAAGGCTGACTTCAGGAATATCCAAACCACGAGCGGCAACATCGGTTGCTACAAGGATACGGGCCGCTGAAGCGCGGAAACGAGCCAAGTTGTCGATTCGCTGTCTTTGGGGAAGTTTAGAGTGTAGAGAAGTGACTCGATGATCAAGCATTCGAAGAAGATGGTGAAGGTAGTCGGCGGTCGAGGTTCGGTTGCAGAACAGGATGACAGTTTTGTCGACATTGGCTTCGGTGAGCAAAAAGACGTGGAGGTAGTGCTCCTTATGAGTGACGGGTGTCTTGATATACATCTGTTTCAGCGTCGTAGGAATAGCCAATGTCTGCGTGTCAACCTCACACACGAATACTGGTTGCTTTCCAGGCTTGATTGGCATGTCCTTGAGAGCTCGAACTTCTGGAGTAATAGTAGCAGTAAACAGAAGCGTCTGTCTCTCAGTAGCTGGGGGAAGAACAGAGAGGCATTCTTCCACGTCAGGAAGCATACTGCCAGGCCCATTGGCGTTGAGAAGGCGATCAGCTTCATCAAGAACCACGTATCGAACTCTCCTCAATCCACAAATGGTGTCCTCTCCGGAAGTTCGAATATGATCCGCGAGACGACCAGGTGTTGCAATTATCACATGTGGCCGCTTGCCGATCTCAATGGCCTGTGTGCGCATATCTGAGCCTCCTGTCACCAAGATCGCCTTGAGGCTCTGAGGAGAAGAGATGGCCTTGAACTGCTCAAAAATCTGCAGTGCTAGTTCTCTTGTTGGTGTTAAGACGATAGCAAAGATGGCAGTAGGATCCTCTGACCATTTCTGCAGGATAGGCACAGCGAACGCTACTGTTTTACCGGAACCTGTTCGACTACCACCGATACAATCCCTGCCTTTCAAGATCTCGGGAATACAGCCCTTTTGAATACCCGTCGGCCGTTTAATAGCCATATTTGCCAGTGACTGTACCAGCCATGGTCGCACGTTGAGGGAAGAAAAGGTGGTATTTGGGTCGGTAGGAGCCTGAATCGAGTTCTTGGGTGCGATCAAAGGTTTAGTCTGAGCCTCCTTCTGGTCGACTTGAGCGGCTCGCTTGATTCGAGATGGGACCTTGATTGTAGAAAGAACTCTCTTCAGCTCATTGTCTTCCTCGTCCTCGTCTTTGACCTCGTCACCTCCAGTCTGAGGCACTTCTGCTGTCCTCCGGCGTTTTCGAGATGTGGCGCTGTCAAGGTAGTCAGACTCGTCAGAGGATGAGGCGGCACCAGACAAGATTTCTTCGTCTGACGCAGCAGTCGCACGTTCGGGATCGGCAGGCGGCACCATGATTCGGGTTTTATAATTGCAGGAGTCAATTTAATCCTTTCAAAGACCAACCTCCCAAGCTAAGGTAGACATGCAAAGTTGGATGCGACTGGACTGGAAATTTTTGGCGGTGACAGGCGTCGCAAAATCGCGGGATGGGACCCTTGATCCACTTTCGGCGCCACATGCAGACACCTAAACGCGCGCTTACAGCAATGGGACATGTCACTAAAAAAGCGCTATCAAGGGCTAACGACCCCCTACGACGTTCACCTATAGCGAATAGACTGATGACTGATTTCACTGTTTTTATCTTGGATTATCTAGCTATGTACCAATCATGACCAGTCTTACAATGCCGTCAATGACAGAAAACGCGTTTGAAGCCGACACTCGGGCGCCTGTTTTGCCTCACAAACGTGTAAGATCGCCCGTCATATGCCACAGGGTTCCTTCAACGAATGGGGAGACATGTCTGGGATGTGTTCAGCTGCGACGTAGCTAGGTGATGTGACAGCCATTGTGTTTCGCCATCTGATTGGGTTTGTAGGTAGGTATTTTGTTTTGATTGTCAATCGATTTCACGAACACGTCCGGGGTCCTGGTATTATTCCAAATATCTAGCTCAGGGGCTTCCCAGGGTGGCATTTTGACTTGTCACCTAAGAATCAGCATGTTTTGTCTTACGACAACGACATTGCATATTGCCCTCGAAAGCTTTACGAATTGGATGCTGACCGAGGGGTTGAAGGATCTCCTCATTCCTAGCTTTGGATTGCGGTTGGACCACGTTGATATGGGACAAGCGCCTCCGATGCAACTGACCCATGATTTCGAATTAATAGCTCCACTAGGTTTGATGCTATGGAGTACCGTAGCCTGACTTTGAATTTCGAAACGAGGATGTGGAGGTTAACTCAGCTCATCGGAATATGGATGAGACCAAGTCAAACTGTACTACTGTTGGTACACCGACGGTTGGGGGCCATGGCAAAAAAACCTGAAATACTACAGAGTGTGACGACGAGAATGACGATGTGTGTGCAACCCAGCTACAAACCCGACCTTGAGCTTGTGGCTTCATGTGCCCGGATCTATTGTCTCTCAAAAGCCCATGTCCAATATTGATATTCATTATTTCACGATAGGCGCATTGAAAAACCCGGCATGATAAACCGCAGATGAAAGAAGAAAGAGCCGAAATGACACCAACAATAGCTTGTAGATTCATCCCACCATTCATCCCACTGGCTGAACTGATGGCAACCCTTGGTTTTTATATCGGGTGGCTTGGCTTGCTAGACTTCAAACCAGTCGCATTGGATGCGTGGTATCACAGTGTAAACACACTCACATCTAGGTAGGGAGGTAGTCGGGTGACTGACCATCCCTATCCCAATATACCTACCTACCTGTAACTTAGCTTAACTTGGTCTATGTTGTGGTTGTAGCCCGTAAGAAGTAATCAAGCGCGTGTTGTATTGAGCAAGTTCCTAAACCACTTCAGATGAGTTTGGCGAGAATCTGAGACATACCTCAAAACCACCAATACCTGGAAAGCCCGCCTTCCAGGGCTGGGTCCAGCTTCCCGTCCCTCCCCCCTCAAGTCTACCTTAGGTACCTAGGTAGGTAGGTAGGTAGGTAGCGCTCAATGCTTGCAGGGAAGCCCAATCACTCAACGCCCCCGCGCCGCAAACAAAGAGCTCCCCGCCCGTACCTCAGGTACAATACTACCCCTAGGGGCCCTGTGCGTCTTCCACTGAGCTCTAGGGGTCACAGATGCCCAAGCGCCCCGCCCTTCCTAGTCTCAGTGGCAATCACAGTCACAAGCCCGCCCACCCAGACCCGATCCAATCAATGCACCTATGGTGGACGCCATTCCCAGCTTACACGTCCTCTTTTCTCTAGTTCTCGCCCTCCCATATGATCTCACGTCCTTTCTCATCTTTTCCTCCTGCCGTTTCGGATTCACTCGACGACGTGTCGTTCGTTGCCACGCCTTTTTTTTTTGTCAGCTTAGGTCCTGTTTTGCGACGTTTTCTTGGGCATAACAACATTCAGTATATTTACGAAGTCTACCTACCTACCTACCTACCTATACATCTAAACGCCGCCAACCGTACTTTCCCCGCTCTTTTGCGTGGGCTGTTGTTACTCCTGCGGCTGCCTCACTTGGCTCTTCGACGACGACATTCATACCTTATTTTACTCTCAACTAAGCAACTGGCTTAACTGATTCCCAACACTCGCTATTGCTGCTATTATCAAACACTCGACGTTGAATTAGTTGCATCCGTATATCCGTGTTCATACTTACGACGACGCTGGCCGCTCGACGACGCTTACTCCTCACATCCGACTATCTCGATCGTCTCTAGTTGATACCACCTTCCCTGGGAGAGACTTCTTTTCAGAACAAAGGAATCACTTTCCATCTGATCCCCAACACGACCTCATTATTGCGTATACGCTGTTGGAACCTGTGTCACCAGCGCAACAGCGAATATGGCCGACCAACAGCCTCAGAGTTCTGATTCAACTTCACTACCCGTACGCTCTCCTGATCGCTCTTCCCTGTCTTGAATGTTTAACTCACGAATTATAGCAACAGCCTGCTGCTCCCACTCCAATTTCTCTACCAACACATAACTCGGGCCCCTCTCCCGTGCCTCTCCTCCGACCCGCCATTCCTGGCGCCAGAAGTGGTGGAGCTCGTACACCCAGGCTTGGCCTCGCTATCCCACCATCACCTAATGCCAAAGCTGTAGGCAATCAAGGAGCAGCCGCGGCTGCCCCTTCAAGGCCTCCTCTGCCGACATTACACCTAGCAACCCCTATGGGTAGTCAAGTCACTCCCCATGAACAATTACCACGATCCCAATGTGCAACCCAAGCATCGGCAGGTGGTGGTAGTGAAAGTAGCGCGGCTCACTCAAGGTCTGGCAGTTTCGGGCCTCTAGATGGACGGGCAAGCAATCCCACCTCTGCAGGATCTCAATATTCCGCTTTGTCCTTTGCTTCGCAGTATGGTATAGGTGTATCAAGACCTCAAGGTACTCCGGATCCGGTATCTGCTGTAGGATCTATGTACTCCGAGAGAAGCGAGGGTGGGGTATCCATGGAGCGTGATGGAAGTCTTCAAGGTTTGGAGGCATTCGATAAACTAAGCCTCGAGAAGGCCAGGACTCTCGACGTTGATGAGCTTGACGAAGAGGGCTGGAGAATCGCAAGTTTGGAGAAGAGAATTGTCGAGATTGGAAATCTAGGTGAAGGTGCTGGTGGTGCTGTCACAAGATGCAAGCTCAAGGGCGGTAACACTGTTTTTGCCCTCAAGGTGAGTTATTTCGACCATAAGCCACAGTTTGATTACTGACGTTTCAAGGTCATCACTACGAATCCGGACCCCGATGTCAAAAAGCAAATTCTCAGAGAGTTGGGATTCAACAAAGAGTGCGCTTCAGACCACATATGCAAGTACTATGGAGCCTTTGTCGATCCGGCTACGGCCACAATCTCAATCGCCATGGAGTTTTGTGAAGGCGGCTCGCTTGATAGCATTTATAAGGAGGTCAAGCGTTTGGGGGGCAGAACAGGAGAGAAGGTTTTAGGAAAGATTGCCGAGGGTGTTTTGGGCGGCCTCACGTACCTGCATACTCGACGAATCATTCACCGAGACATCAAACCTTCGAACATCTTACTCTGCCGAGACGGTGCCGTGAAACTATGCGATTTCGGTGTCTCTGGCGATTTCGGTACTAAGGGAGAGGCCAATACTTTCATCGGCACCAGCTATTATATGGCACCTGAGCGTATCACCGGCCAGTCCTATACTATTACTTCGGATGTTTGGTCAACCGGAGTTACCCTTCTCGAGGTGGCGCAGCATCGTTTCCCATTCCCAGCAGACGGCACAGAAATGCAACCGCGGGCTGGTCTTATAGATTTACTCACATACATCGTAAGACAGAACGTGCCCAAACTGAAGGACGAACCTGAAATGGACGTGTATTGGAGTGACAACTTCAAATATTTCATCGAGTGCTGGTAAGTCTCCTACCCCCTCCTTCAGGAGCGTGTGCTAACATTGTCTAAGTTTGGAAAAACAACCCAACAGACGAGCCAGTCCTTGGAAGATGATGGAGCACCCATGGATGGTTGAAATGCGCTCCAAGCGTGTCAACATGGTGAAATATCTTTCTTTTGTCTGGGGTTGGGATGAACAACCTAAGGACTCTTAGGAAAGATACACAACAAGCTCAAGCTTCGGAGCAGCAAAATGCTAAAGCAGCTCAAACAGCACAGGATGTCAAATAATGGAAGGAGGTCAGGACGGCAGAAGTTCTCGCAAAAGCAGATGAATTGGTGAAGCAGGCCTTGGAAGAAGCAAATCGGAGAAATGGCCATGCAGCATGAACGCTTTACACAATGCCATGAACGAACCAGAGAAGGCCACATTCCTCGTCAGCCATTTCCACTACGCCCACGATTATGTGAACAAAGGCTGCGGTCTTCGTTGTGAGCATTTCTTTTTAAATACATACGTCACTGATGTTTCATGATCAAAAATGATAGCGGACAAACGACCTGACCAGCCTGCAGTAGGTAGCATCAGAAGACCGTCTTGTGGGATTATTATGTCCTCAGTAGCAGTGTATGACTTGAGGATTGGCGCAATTGCTCCAGCAATCAAGCTGAGGGCTATCAGAATATAGCGAGCTCCACATTAGATATATGTCGTATCTGGCATCCAAGCGCCTTAATTTTATTGTATCCCCCACTTAAATACATGGGTATCAAATTCCTGTTGAGTCTCTTGCAACGGTCTCGGTATCCTCAGGGGGGTCGCCCATGAGCTCGCGTAACGCAATAGTTGCGTATGCACTGCGTCCAAGTTGGAACTTAACTACCACCGCAACCTTTGTAGGTTCCTGAGGAGCAGGAGTCGCTTCAGGGGCAGAGCCATCATCTGCAGTCTCTGCTTGGACATATGTCATCTCAACCTCTGTAGAAGCGGGCGTACCATTCTCAACCTTCGTTTTCTTGACTGTCGAGTCGGAGTCGACGTCCTCAAGAGAGCGCTTCCTGCTAGGGCCCTTCGAAGCTTTGATATTGTCCAAGTCAGTTGGGTGCATTTGCTCTGCATCATCAGAGTAGGCACGGACCTCAGCGGAGGGCGTGGCGAGGAATCGGTTCATGATTTTGCGGTATCGGCCAGGCAGACTGAACTCGCGGCGCATGCGGCGCATTTTGTAGGGGTCAAGGTTACCATTCTCGTCGCGACCCATAAAATCCTTGTAGAAATCCCCAATATCGTTCTCAGGATAAACGACGTCGTAGCCTGGTGTTGGCAGCACAATGTCGAAGATGGTATAGTTACCACTGGCGGCTTCTTCAGCGGTAAGGGGACGAGCGCGAACGGGAGCATCTTCGTCATCTTCGACAGGGTTGATAATGTCATCACCGTCTTGGTCCTGGCCGCTGACAAGAGGCGTACTCTCCGTCGGAGCGATAATGAGATCGCCAGCAATCACGTTCTCGCCGTGAAGCTCCCAGCGACGACTGGCGGCGTGGTTCCAGATGTAGGACTGGTAGGCATGAAGGTACATGGAGCGCAAGCCACGAGTGATGTGAACCAGAGAACCAATGAAATCACGTCTAGACTGAGCGCCCTGCCGGTTTAGATGTCTGAAGATGCTGTTCTCGGCAGAAAATCGACGAGGCATGAGCTTGATGGCTCGGTCGACATCTTTGTCTGTAAGGAAGAGCATGCAGGCCTGGTTTCGCAGATACTCGTCTCTCTTGGAGGGTTCGTCAGGGATATCGCCTGCCTCAGCCCTCTGTGCAATCTTGTCATCGTAATGGAGAAGTGACATGACTGCCTCCTCGTACTTGTCCCCGAGGATGAGTTGCCCAACCTGGTGTGTGCCAACTTCGTGAGTTCCGAAGCGCTGGTGACCGAAATAGTTGATCCAGCCGTGTTCGGTCATATGGTTCAGAGCCGAATCAACGTTCTTCTTCAGCACTTCTACCCGCTGGGCGATGGGCTGGTCGTTGGACTCGCCAACTATTTGGCAACTCTTGATCGCAATCACGAATTCATTGCCAAGAAGCTGTCCGAGATAAATTGGCTTGTCCTTATAGTCGTAATCTCCCGTGGAAACACCCCAAATCCTCCCGTTGATACCAGCGAGGTTTCGTGGCCGCATGTATCGCACCGAGCATCGTTGCACTGTAGAAGCTCTGCGGTCTTTGGTACCAGCATATCCGATGACCTGGGGCTTGACCTTGAGGAAACGAGCAATCTGATTCACGGCATCCATGGTGTCGCGGTTCTCCTTGAACAGAGTAAAATGCAGGTATTCGCCAGCAGGCTTTTCCTCGCGGCCACCACCGCGACCACCACGGCCGCGCTTCTTGCTGTTGGCTTTTCTTGGGGGGATAAGAGTTGCGACAATAGCACCTTCGTCAGTTGTGTTGGTATCTATCCGAGACTTAAAAATGCGGCGGATCTCTTGGTGAACTTGACCACGCTTTGCCCTGTCGTCCATGGGCTCCGATGTAACAGACTTCTTCTTCTCGTGGTCGGCGCCATGACCAGACCGATATACTCCAATCAGCTCCTGAGCGAATCGCTGATCGGTCAGACCCTCGAGAATGGTGGCATCCTCGGGTGAGACTTCGTTGACCGTCTCAGGTTGAGGTGCCGACTCGGGTTTAGTAGCGGTCTCGCTGTATGTTTGCTTCAAGGCATCTTTCGCAGGCTCATCTGTTTTTGTTTCCTGGGCTGTATACTCGCCGTTGAACTCTTTCTTCACCTCAATCGCCTGAGAAGAAGTCAGTGGGTGCGCTATGAAAGTCGTAGAGCCCGTTTCTGCTTACTGGTGCTTCTTCATCTGCCAGTCCGACTTGTTGTAGGTGCAGGACTGTGCCGTCTTCTTTGATCTCATTGACTTGAAAGTCCGAGAATCTGTATTGCGTTAGTCTCTCAATTGCCGACATGACCATGACTTCAATGTTCACCTAGTCCGCATTTCACCAGTCCATGGTGTCGCGCGTGGTGTCACACGCTGGCTAATTCCTATGGATCGTGTATAAGAGACAGTGCCACGCGCCGCGTGATGAGATTGCTCCGCCATTGCAAGTATTGCGACTGTAATCTAGCCGTATATCAATTCTGGCGAAAGCTTGCGACAGATGTGTTTGCTTCCACTTGATGGTTGAAACAACTGGTGGGGGCACCTTTGCGATCTGTAATTTTTTCCCCGGCAGTATTTCGTCTTAGATTCAAATCAGAAGGCGGTGAGTCTTATCTTGCCAACTGGAATATGGTGCGGCGCCTCAAAAGGCAGGCGGTCGAAGATACGTATTTATCAATCCAATGGAGGACAGGCTCTTGTTAAAATCTGTTTGTTTACCAGGTTGCCGAAAAGTCGAATAGGAGAGAGAACAGACGCTAATGAAGTATGTACTATGGTGGTATGGTGGTATGGCTATTACTGGTTTGTTTTATCAAGTTAGCTTCATGCTCATTATAAGTTTTCTCAACTTTCGCATCAAGACCAGCTAGCATCCATAGGGGTGGAAGCAAGGTGAGGCATGAAGACTCAGCACCTCTATCCCTATCCCAAGCAGCAAAAAGGCTCAAGTAACTTAAGGTGTTATAGACTTGATAGGTCTTTAGACCAATCATTTTATACAACTTAGCTTAAGGTCGGAATTTCCATGCTCCCTGAGGGGTCGAACTTGTAGTTAAGATTCTGTTCTTCACATCTGGATTTGAAGAGGCACACAACTTTGGCTACCTACCTACCTAGGTACCTAATCGAATGGCAGTTCTTTTCATCCCTTGTCGCATCCTTCACACTGCATCGTAGCGAGACTGGAGGATGTGCACGACAGTGAGGTAGCTTGAAGGTAGCTACGGCTTTCTTTGTTAGAATACGGGGTAATTACAGCGTCAAGACCTAGTGTTGCAGTTGATGTCTCTAACACGCGAACAATATGAGCCAGACTAGTAAGCGACTGTAAGGTTGATTCATGCTGGAGGTCGATGAATTATAAGAGAGCTTGTTCAGGACAGACAGTTCATGTGGCATGATGCACCCCGACATTCGACAGAGGGACTTTTACTTGTGCTGCATCCTGATTGCCGTCTTGGAAGAGCGGGCAATCATACCCAGTAGATCACTAACAAACCATGTCTCCTCAGCATCTCAGGAACCCCTCTCTTGTACGAGTCACTAAATAGACGCCTGGTGAGTAGCCCGCATGACAAGTTCAACTAACCTTTTCTCTCTGCACCTAACTAGCTGCTATAACTTATACCACCTACTTTACTGTGAGACCTCCTCGGCTGATCGGTGATGATAGTCACTTATTGGTCTATTGCTGGCTGCAAGGATCGTTTGTGCACACGACAAGGCGTGATCTAACCTCCCCTCCTCCAAATTTCGGCCACTTTTAAAAATTTCCCTTAGTTATTATCGAGGGGAAGAGTGAGGAGCAACACCAACACACTCTTTGCTCGTTTTTGGTTATTTTTGTTGTTCCAAATTCTCAATTCCCATTTCTCCTCTTTGCTTGAGTTCTCTTCCAATCACTTCTCGCTTCCACGGTTGACTGCATTGGGCCCGCAATTGACATGTCAATCATGAGCCGTAAAGACAAAGGTCGGGAAAGACTCTGTCGTACGCAGCTTCGAGAGATCATCTGTTCTGTCTGTCATCATAACGCAAGTGCAACTGAAGAGTGACCCAGGAACAATCCACGATCAAGATGCCTGTAATAAGAAGCGGCTCAACACGGGACATCTACAAGGTAAGGACGAACGGATATCCATCTTTGTACGGGCGATCACAAACAATTCGTTTACTACATCCTATTGAATGCTTCAATATTGTGCCCAATTCGCATTATTTTGCATGGCAATTCTCGGCCATATCACTGAACAATTCCTTATTCATCCACAACGCTAATTCCATTGCTTACAGGCACCCTTGTCTGCTGTCCTTCGTCGCCACGGTCGTGAGCGTCGTGAACGCTGGAGTCAAGGTGAAGACCCGGGTGACTTCATGCCTCCCCACCAAGGTGAGCTAACCTGGACACTGCTCTATGATGCGGATCTACTCACAGCACGTAGACGAAGAGCCCAGCCATGAGCCTTCTGAATCCTCAAAAGGGAAACAACCTGAGCCTCAGCGTCTTCCTTCTAGAGCTGGCTACGATACAGCTGTGCTTCTTGACTTGTGCGACACCATTCGCAGTAGCCTGCATGGGGGACGTCCCGAGGACAGGTGGGAAGAAGCCATGGGTTTTCTCGCGGCACTGCTAAGAGACGAGGAGCACTACAACCGCGCAATAGAATTCGAGACTATACGCGACACGCACCTTGACAAGCTTATATCGGATCTCATGGATCCCAAATATCGCCACCCAAGAGTACCTATTAGATTTTCGAAAGATGTCGAAAGAGCAGAGACCCTAGAACGGAAATGGGTTGAGAGGTTTCGAGGTCCCTACTTCAATATGGAGCAAAACCGCTATCGAGATCTCCCCAAGACGGGACGGCTCAGGGATGTGGCTCTGAACCCCAATGCAGACAATTCAGAAGAACGTTGGCAAGCCAAAGAAGGTAAGACTTTGTCAGAGCTGGAGGGTAATCTGGAAATCGAACCTGGGCAGTAAGAAGACCCGAACCCCTATAGCAATTGAAATTTTTTGAAGATTACTCACGCTTAAGATGCAGTTGGTGGCTCAACTTGGCTTGCGCGCATCGGGATGGTATCGTTGGTAGTGCTCGCGAGAAACCTACCAAGGGCAAATATGGAGTTGCCGCATTACCGTTGCTCACAGGGCAAGAGAAAATTGATGAAGGAGAGGGAACTCTGAAATATGTCAGGCAGGGAAGAATTACTGACATACATGTGTCGCTCATATCTCAAGTGGGAGCTACCTTTCGAATCCTGCGAGGCCATCACCTCAGAAGCCCATATGCACCAAAAGTCGGCATTCGTTATGATGGTTTGTAGGTTCTCATAGCCTTTCCTACGGCTCCTACTCGCTAATAAGGCGCCAGGTATACGATACGCCGATATAGTCAATGGTTTAATGAAGCCAGCGACCGGCACCATATGATGCTCACTTTGGAAAGAGTTGAGGATCAGAAACCAATAGAGGATATCTTGCATATACCCCGTCCATCCGAGATGGACGACTGGGAGCTCTATGAGAAATATGAGGGCGAGGCGATCAAAAAGCACAAGGGAAACAAGGCCCTTCTCGACTAGAAGTTAGAAATGGCACAAGAGAAAGTCGACCGGGAGGAATATCAGAGGTCGCATGACTTCCGAAACTCGTTGGGTTATCAGTTCAAGAAAGCAGGACTTTATTGATATGAGGTGAAGCATGATATGATGGGACGTATGGCTACGCTGCATCGATTGGCTTGCAAGACTAGTTCATAGCATTAATGGTAACGTTTAATTAGAGGCCACTGACATTGTCAGTTCTATCATTACCTAGTTTGGAAGTGTTGATATGACTTGGTTGGGTGCCTCAACTGAGGGAGGGGTACCGTGTCGACACAACGCAATACAGGTAGGAAATCTTCCAAGGGTTCACCTATGGCGGGGCATGCCATCCAACCCACCGCCACCACAGCTGTGGTCCCTTGTTCCTCTTACATGACATCCTCATAAACAACATGGGCAAAAACGACAAGAAAGGTGCCGACAAGGGAGGTAAGGGCAAGGCAGACAAGGGCAAAGATGCAAAAGACTCTGGCGGCAAATCCAAAGGTGCTCAGAGCATCAACGTCCGTCACATTCTGGTGAGTTTCACACAAGCGTTCACCAATTGAAATACTGACAGAGGGGTGCATAGTGCGAGAAACACGCCAAGAAGGAGGAGGCTCTGGCAAAGTTGAACGACGGCCTCAAGTTCGATGAGGTCGCAAGGGAGTACTCAGAAGACAAGGCCAGGCAAGGTGGTTCACTGGGATGGAAGACCAAGGGCAGCTTGGACCCCAAGTTTGAAGAGGTGGCTTTTGCTCTTGAGCCCAGCACAACGGCCAGTCCAAAATTTGTAGAGTGCAAGACGGAGTTTGGATACCATATCATTATGGTAAGTTTACAGCTTCTTGGACAAATTTTGACCCGAGATTAACATTATGGGAGGTCGAGGGACGGAAGTAGATGGCACAGCATAGTCACGTCAAACCTGCATGACAATTACAACAGAAGCACAAGAGACAAGTTGAGAATCTAATTTGATGCCCAGTTTTTTTTTTATTCCTCTCAAATGCAATATGGCCATGAGATACGAGGCCTAAACCGTTTTAGATGCCAACCGAAGTGGCTAGAGTACAAGCGAAAAGTCGTGTCGAGCGGCCTCGAAACAAAGTCAAGTCCGCACCTCTAATCCTCTCCCTTCACATCATACACCGTTTAAAGGCCCTTACTGCTCGGTCTGGAAGTAGTTGAGGAGGATAGATCGCTCCTGAGACTCCTCACCCCAGTCCTTGACGACGACGCAAGAGCAGTTGACGACCTTGCGGGCGTTACCCTCACGGTCAAGAACGCCTATAGGTATTCGTTAGTAAACCAATCCAGACCAAAGTAGATTCCATCGGGCAAAACGTACAGAGACCGGCCCACTCGCCGAGCTGCTTTCCGTCGGGGATCTGGATCAAGGGGATGTTGTGCTCATTGCAGAGAGCGACAACAAGCTTCTTGTAGGCCTCCTCCTCGCAGTTCTCGTTCAAGACACACATGTGTGCCTGTCGGCGATCGAGGGCCTTGGAAGCCTCACGGAGACCACGAGCGAGACCGTCGTGCATGAGAGAGAGCTTCAGGACACCCTTGAGAGCGTCGAGAATGGACATCTGGCCCTTGGGGGCATCGCCGGAAACCTCAACAACATCGGCGACCTCGGGGGTGTTGTCTTCTACGTCCGACTGTCACGAGAAAATGTTAGCCGACATTTTCGATTTTTGGTGCTTCCCCCACCATCGCGAATTGACATCCGTTTGAGGTTGCAGTTGCAAGCCTCAACAGCGCAATTGACGACAAGAGGCGGCAAGACATCAAAAACTCACCATCTTGGATAATCTTTTCTTGTCGGGCGATCCTCGAAGATTTCTATGTGTATCAAGGAAAAGTTGGAAGGGGGGTAGAGTCGTGATCTGGGAAATGTCTTCGTTTAGTTCCACGTTGATTTGCCGAAATCTAAACGACCGAGTGCGCAGACCCTTAGGGCAAGTGCACGGACCCACTCATTCACGCACTACACCTCTTTTTTTCTTTCTTTCTCATCCGCGTTCCTTTACTTTGCAGTCTTCATCAATCGACCAAGTCAATCTTCGAGGTATGTATACTACAAAACTGGCTCGCAGCGATTCGAATCCAGAAGGATGATGCTATTCACCGTGGCAAGGGAGAGCAATCGAGGGCGTCGTTTTACGTGAGCCGATCTTTCAACAATGGCCGGGTTTTATTCACGGCTGGCGACAGTTCCTCGATACGCTTCTCCTCTTCAGCACTGGGCGGCAGAACCCTCGCGATCGATCGTTGAGGGCACTCTCCTCGCTCATGAGCCTTGGAAAGGCTAACAACTATATTTCATGGCAGATACCTCATTTCCCGTCCCGACTTGAGAATCTCCTCAAAACGCCGCCAAAATGGTCCGCACTTCCGTCCTCCACGATGCGCTCAACGCCATCAACAACGCCGAGAAGGCTGGCAAGCGCCAGGTCCTGATCCGACCTTCTTCCAAGGTCATTATCAAGTTCCTCCAGGTCATGCAGCGCCACGGTATGTCTCGGAATTTTTATTCCTTTAATTTTTTGTATCTTCGTCGTTGGCCTCGACTATTCGACATGACAACATTTGGCAGTGGTTCTTCTTCACCATGATCCAACTACCATGAGTCGTCGACAACTCCCGATCTCCTTATTCGGCATGATAACTAGGGCGACGGTCGATACTGCACCACGACCCAGCCCCTATAAGTTGCCGATAGATTCAAACTCGGAGATCTTACACGTTTTTCGGATTCTTTATACCCATGATGTCTAACGTTTAGTCTCTCGAAACATTACTGACTCGATCATCAGGATACATTGGAGAGTTCGAGGAGGTCGATGACCACCGATCCGGCAAGATCGTTGTCCAGCTCAACGGCCGCCTCAACAAGACCGGTGTCATCTCCCCCCGCTACAACGTCCGCCTCTCCGAGCTCGAGAAGTGGGTTGTCAAGCTGCTCCCTGCCCGTCAGTTCGGCTATGTCATCCTCACCACCTCTGCCGGCATCATGGACCACGAGGAGGCCCGACGCAAGCACGTTTCTGGCAAGATCATTGGCTTCTTCTACTAAATGGGACGGGATACCAATCAAAAAGTGATTTTTACAAACAAAACAGGGCATTCTCGGCGTTGAGGCAGGATGATGATGACTATGACCGATGCGATTAATAGCAATGTCGCTTATCGCACACGCGAGCACAAGAATTGAACCTATACGAGATGCTCAGACTCAAGACTCCCTATGAAGTGAAAGTAAAGACAAACGTTCATGCTCCTTCCCGACGTGGCACCCATCTCGGATGGTACAATCCGCACATCAGATTGCTCTGGCTGTGGCTTCAGTAATCGAACCTATTGCATATGAATTCTACAAGTGACAAGAGACGTGCCTTTGTAACGCCGTTTGATAATTCGATATTGATTTTCACTGGGAAACTGTTGTCTAAATTTTACTTGGCAATGGTGATGCAATAAGTCGTTGTGCCAGCAACGTCCCTGCTGAGCTATTGTTTTCTTTTTGGACGGTTAGCCAATGAAAATGATGCAGCCAAAACCAATCCACTACTTTGTCTCAAGGTCAATCTGCCGCTTCGCGCTGAGACAGACATCATGACCGGTCGTGAGTTCATGGCTACCAGTCTTTGTAATTGATTTTCCTCAGCAGATACTTTCGTATCACCGAGCCGATGAATTTTTTCAACATACTTCTTACCATGCTGATTTAGTTTTGTGTTTGATCCAGAAGCCAACTATAAACATGATCCCTCTCTTATCGTTTCGCGCCTCTCAGCGGCGTCAACTCTTATCCATCACTGCTCTTACATTATTTTGTTTCTGCGCGTATAGTCTCTTGAGAATATCACCAAAACACACAAGAGAAATCCAAATTCAAACTCAAACTCAAACACCCCTAGAGCCATCAACAACCCCAGGATCAGCGCCACAAGATGAAGATCTTGTTCAAGGAAGCGCCGAACCAAGAAAGGTTCCCACTCCAGGAATGCATCCTATAGGATATCTTGCAAGGAATGCTCAGGAGGAGTTTGGAATAATCAAGGCTCGACAGTCCAAGACGCTTGAGGAGGCTATTCAGGAGTACCGTCGTCGATATGGTATTCCACCGCCACCCCTTTTCGACGAGTGGTTTCGATTTGCAAAAGATAACGACGTCAAATTGATAGACGAGTTCGACACGATTCACGACCTGATCACTCCATTTTGGGGACTAAAACCCAAGACTATCCGGGCTCGAGCCAGAGAGGCATTGGGTTTTGACAACGGGTTGATTGGGGTATCTATTCGAGACCACAAGATCACTTATATCCAAAATGGCGTTGAATGGCAGCAAAATGCCACGAAGAGGATGATGGGCAAATTTCTCAAGTACCTTCCAGATATGGACCTGGCCTTCAACTTTCACGACGAGTCCCGCGTTATTCTTTCGCACGAGGACCTGACGAGGTTAGTGAAAATGGCCAAAGAGCAGAACATGCCCGCAGCGTTGGCGAAATCACAACTCGCCAACGACTTCACTCAAACGAACTCAGAGTTATATGATGGGAAGTCTTTCGACGAGATAAGTCTCACACGCTTCAACTCTTTTGCCCATCAATCAACCTGGTCTCATTCTCGCCTATCATGTCCGCCAGATACTCCAGCTCGATGTCTCGAGGAGGAAGAGGCTGTGGACTATAGAAACAGGTACGGCATGAGTGATCTTGGATTTGTTTACAACACGACCGCCATGTCAGACATCTGCCTATCGCCCAGCCTCAAATCTAACTTTGGCTTCTTCGGTGGACCCAACACATATAGAATTGTCCAGGATTTGTTTCCCATATTCTCCCAGTCCAAGATTTCTTCTTACAGCGACCTTGTATACCCGTCTCCCTGGGACTGGGCCGGCATGGTAGAATACGATGAGGAGATGGACATGGAGTGGGTTAAGAAGGAGAGCAAGCTATACTGGCGCGGCTCGACCACTGGAGGCTACAGCCGGAACGGCCGTTGGAGACATCAGCACCGTCAACGTCTTGTACAGAAACTTAATGCGCGCGATCAGGCTCATATTCTCACTAAGCAAGACGACCCTTCCTGGGCGACCAGCGAGGTTCCGCGCGGCGACTACAGCGAGATGATCGATGTGCATTTCTCTCACATTGGACAATGTGACCAAGGCGACTGCGAGGCGCAACGAGCTTTTTTCAATGTCACCGAGGCCGTAGATCAGCAAGATGCTTGGTCCTATAAATATCTCCTCGATATGGATGGAAACGCCTTTTCCGGTCGCTTCACTGCCTTCCTTCGCAGTCGCAGCCTAACATTCAAACTCGCGGTGTTCCGCGAGTGGCACGCTGAGTGGCTCAAGCCGTGGGCACATTATGTGCCTCTAAGTATCCAGGGAGATGACTGGCTTGAGACAGTTCGGTTCTTTGAGAGCGAGGAGGCTGGTCGTCAAGAAGGCGAGCGTATTGCGGCTGCTAGTCGAGAGTGGGCGAACCAGGCTCTTCGTCAGGTTGACATGGAAGCATGGTTTTTCCGCCTCATGCTTGAGTAAGTGCTATCGTCTCGCATAGTTTGGTCATTTTCATGCTGGTGCTAACGGGATACAGATATGCTCGAGTGATAGATGATAAGAGAGAAGTAATTGGTTATGATCGCAGTAGCGCCAATTTGAAGCTGCCAAAGGTTGAGAGTTGATGAATGAATGATTAGACTGAGTGAATGACATATACGCATAGGGGATCGGAGCATAGCAAAAGGCACTTATACCACGGGAAACGGCATCAAGATTCATAATACCGACACAGGTACTGGTATTTCAAATGAGTGGGAGAATCATGCGTGTGTATATTATTTTGAATATGGGATAATTTTATTACGCCTCAGATCTATGATTAAAAATTGCAAACTGTACGCCACGATGCCCCCGTTCGCCAAATACATGCCATTTCTGTCCTCGCAACTCTCAATTATCTCGAGGCATATGTCGCACAAAGGACATATCCTTTTGTTCTCTCTTCCTCTAGAGTACAAGGCTTTCCTCTGAGCTATATGCATCGCGCTCAACTACCGTTTACTCCTCGTCTTCTCCCTCTGCATCATGCTCTTCAGAGGCTGACCTCGAGCGACGGCCTGCTGGACTGCTAACCCGATGATGTTCTCCTTCCTCCTCGCCTTCAGCATCCTGGCCCTCGTGGTGCTCCTCCTCATTCCCTTCTTCCTCATCGGCCTGTCCTGTGCCAAGGGGGTGATCGCGATGTTGCTTGATCATCTCACGAATATCCTCTCTTGGGTCTTCGACGGTGACGTCGAGCTGGTCAACAACTTGCTCCTCATCGGTAATACCAATGTTTCGCGCAATGTTCTTTGTTCGCTGGGGTCGAATTACAGATTTCTGCATAACAGGATAGTAGTATACGGCCTTCTGGTTGGGATAGAAAGTGTCTTCATTGTAAGCCAGGAGAACCTCTGCGTCGAACTTGGTCTCATGGTCGTAATTGGTCTCCTGAGCTGTCTCATACGCTCTGAGCCGGTTGTATTGGAAGCATCCACCGTTGACAGAGTCGTGAGTGTAGAGTTCGTCCTCGTTGTGGTCGGCATCCTCAACATCGAACTTGCGACGGAAACGATCCCCCACGTCAGGAGTTGCCGCCAAATAATAGTCAAAATTCATCCAGTTCTGAGGCTTGGGGTTGTTTTCAGGATCTTGCTCGTGAGCTGCCACAGCTGCCTCATACGCTTCTTCTTCCTCGGCTGTCCGATCAATGGGCCGGAACAAACCACTGAGAAGACGTCTGTCATAATCCTTGGTGCTGACCACAGGGTTCTGGTGGAATTTGATCGTAACGTACGCGCCCGAGTCGGGGAAAGCCTCGAGATCTGGGATGAAAGGTGACACATCGACAACCTTGAGATTTCTCTTGCTTGGGTGTTTGGCACGTTTGGGGTCTTTGAATTCGTGCTCAGCAATGTCGAAGCCTTTGTCAATCTTTCGCTTAATGACGTGAGGAGCATCGGCTGCAGGCTCCGGGATGCGTCGATTCTTGTTGGCCTTGGTGAGTAGAGCACGAGGTGCAGCACCGTCTTGTCGCTTTGTGACCGTGGAAGATATGTATTCTGTCCGGCGAAGGAAAGAAACATTGGCTTCTGCGACCTTGTGTTTTCCCAGAGCGGCGATGGGTCTTAGAAGGGGTCGATCGTGAGGATGAAGAGCAGGAGGATGAGGAGGAGCCTGAATAGCTGGGAGATCGTCAGCTTTGTAAGGTCAAAACACGATAAATAGTCAACCTACATCGTTCATCGCCATCAAAAACACCAGGCATGCCGACCAAGTCAAGGGGCATTCCCAGTTCAGCATCCGCCTCAATATTCAGCGGCTGCTCCCTCGCAAGGCGCGAAGCAAAGCCTGGTGTCGTATATTGACCGCTAGCAAGACCAGTATTGGGTATGTCGAGCAGCTTAGGAGGATGGGGTGGTGGAGGGAGCGCATTGGAGAATCGGATGCGTGCGATGAAGTCCTGGTGAACCATGCGCTCGCCTGTGCGAGGAGCTGAGGATGACATGATGGTCGAATTGGCAAGGAGCGCCGAAGGGGATGTTGGCGAGGGTGTGAAGTCGTGATGTATCTGAAGGGTGTTGGCGCGCGATTCTTTTGTTCAGTTTGGCTTTATGGAGAAGCTTAAGCGCGGGCACGGCTGAGTTTCGAGGTCAAAGGTATCCGAGAATTGCGGCGCGAGGCTGGCCTTGTCTAAGCTCCACGTTTGGCGTAGCCACTAAGGCTTCCTCATGAAACTTACTCCAAATACCTAAACAGCAATTAAACAAAGAAACAGAATAATAACTCAGAAAAAGGTTTTCGGGCAATATAAACATACTTAACATGTTTTCACCTTAAGTATTGTTTATCAATAATGCCAAAATTAACCTGCACGAAGCTTTATACTGAAGAGCTCGGTCATTCTTTTGATTCATATGATTGTCATTTTCATTAAATAGTTCATCTGCTCTGTTTGTCATGGCCCCAGATCCGTCCAAGTCTATAGCTAAGGTCCGTTTGTGTCACACAAACCCAGTTCCTTTCTTTATCGCCAAACCCCCATGTGAGTTGTCACCAGTCAATTTCCCCTCGTAATTGAAATACACGCGTCGGAACACGCATCGCATTATTGTGCAGCTTGATAAAGCTGGCCGTCATGTTTATACAACGCACGCGGGCACTCGTTCAGCGGAGATGGCCGCTGTGCTGAAGAAAAGTATCCCCAAAAGTCGCGTCTGTTTACGAGCTGTTCTTGGCGTAGTTCTTCTTACCGACAGTAAAGGGTACGTAGCGGTACTTGATCATGTGCTGAATTTGCTTGCGCACTAGAAACAATCAATATACGGAATTGTGTGTGTATGTCATATGGAACTTACTAGTCAGGAAGAAGAGGATGAACCAGTACATGACCAGAACGGGCCAGAAAACTGGCACGTTAAAGATCTCGAACCAACTGCAGAAGAAGCTGATGATGATAGCTCGGGTGGCCCAGTACCAGAACTTGAACTCAGGAAGTCGACGAATGAAGGGCTTGAACTCCTCGTCCTGCTTGGTGGGAAGGGTGCCCACAGAGCCGTCCTCCATCTCGTTGTCGGCCTCTTCGTTGGAGGGGTCGAACTTGGGCTGCAGGAATGCCAGGAACAGGTTTAGAAGATAGATTCCGAGCGCATAGGCAACTGCGTAGTTGTAAGCAAGATGATCCGGGTGGGTGATTTGCAGGTTCGAGCCTACCGATATACCAGCCCTGCGCAAGAAGGATTCGAAGAAAGAAGAGGAGGAGGCAGACAACAGTGCCGACCCATCGGTAGAGGACGAAAGGGGTCGACTGGTCCAGCAAAGCTTGGTATTTCTAATCCGTCGTCAGAAGAGTCGCAATGCATAACAGTCTATTTCGAGAGACATACTCGCTGAAGCCTCGAGGTATGGACGCTGACAGCCTCGAAAGGGGTCTGCTCAGGCTCTGGCGCATTCATCTTGGAAAGAGGATCGGTCGACCGTTGTCAATCGGGATATATGACGGGGAGGAGGCGCAAATTATTCAAATAGAATAATCGAGTGTAATTGTGCGGAACAAGGACTACGATGTCGTGAGAAAAGTCGAAATCGACGGTAAAAAAAAAAAAAAAAAGAAGTGATGGCGAATTTGCGATTGGGGGGTCAGGACTTCCAACTTTGGACTTTTGGCGATGCAGCCACGTAAGGTTTGTTAAGCTCTTGGTACCTAGGCAAGGCTAATCAATTCCCCGGTCCTTTACCGGACTAAGGAGAACTTGATGAACCGTTGACAGGCAGTTTGTTTGGTGGCCTCCCTGAAACTGACAGTTAGCCTATGATCTTATTGGTGATTCAGCCGGATTACTGCTGAGCGATCTGAGAAGAGCCCCTTGACCCCACATGCGAATGAGGCGCAGTCTTTAATTATCTATTACCGCGTCGCGTCGAGTTGCTTACCCCTGTAAGAAGCTCACGCCGTATGTATTCAGTGTATAGAGTACGGAGTAGAGATCCAACTATACATTACTTGTCTACCTACTCTGAAGGTAGGCACAGTTTAATTTACCAGCTCATGGCTACCCGGATGACAACATTCTATTCATAAAGCTGCGATTTATGCTCTATTCTAGGCAGATACCGAAGGCAATGCCCTTCCGGTTATTCCTCTACCATTAGCGAACAAGAACTTGCAGGGTGTGGCTTGGCCACTACCTCTGCTGCATCATCAATAGATTATTTGTGAAAGAGATTATCAACAAGTCGAGTTGGAGGAGTTCCCATCTTAACCTGGAGTTGTCAAGGTGATTAGTTCAACCTCTCACGTGACGTTCAATCACAAATCTGGTTGTCGGCTTTGCCATGGGTATGGGCGGCCCATGTTATCCTCGGCTCTGTTGCGTCACTGGGGAAGCTTAAGGTCCCCGGTTATCAAATACAAGTCCAATACTTATTATAGCTCCTCACTGATCAAATTCTTGACTTATACAATAGTAACCGTACCAACTCCTTCAGTTGTGGAACCAACAGATAACGTTTTTACATCACAATATTGATCGTTGACTATCTTTCTCATCATTTCCATTCTCTAGTATCACAATGAACACTTTCCGGTGCATGAGACCAGTGGCAGCTCGGGTGGCCTTCCAAAGGTCTACTCTTCCTCGCGTTGCTCGAGCTTACAGCTCGACGACTTATGAGTATATCCAGGTTTCTCAACCCAAGCCCGGTGTTGGACAAGGTACGAATGATACTGAAACAATGCAATCCCTCGGTTTGGTTTATCGAACAGTATCTAACGATGATTAGTTACCTTGAACCGTCCTAAGGCCCTCAACGCCCTATGCACGCCTCTTATCAAAGAGCTCAACCAGGCTCTTCTTGAATTTAATGTGGCCGACGATACGTCAGTCATTATTTTAACCGGCTCCCAAAAGGCGTTTGCAGCTGGTGCTGATATCAAGGAGATGGCCCCTCTTACTTTCGCCGAAGCTTACACCAAGTCCTTCATCGAGTCCTGGTCAGACCTCACCACTCAGGTGAAAAAGCCAATCATCGCTGCAGTCTCGGGGCATGCCCTTGGTGGAGGCTGCGAGCTCGCCATGATGTGTGATCTCATCTATTGTACTGAGAATGCGAACTTCGGCCAACCCGAGATCAAGCTCGGGACTGTTCCTGGAGCTGGTGGCAGCCAGCGCCTTACTCGTGCCATCGGCAAGTCAAAGGCAATGGAACTCATTCTGACCGGAAAGTCACTTTCTGGTGTCGATGCAGAGAAATGGGGACTCGCTGCCAGGGTGTTTCCCACGTATGAGGCTCTGATGGAGGAGACGCTCAAGACAGCCGAGACAATTGCTGGCTACTCCAAGGTGGCTGTTCAAGCCGCCAAGGAGGTTGTCAACAAGAGCCAGGATCTGGCCCTACGTGATGGTGTCGAGTATGAGCGGCGAGTCTTCCACAGCTTGTTTGGTAGCCAAGATCAGAAGATTGGCATGAAGGCGTTCGCAGAAAAGAAGAAGGCTGAGTGGAGTCACTCATAAGCGCTATTTGGAATTTAGGAATGTGCCTTGACGGCGTTTATATAAAAAATATGAATGCAAGACCCATTGCAGATATGAAAACCGCCACGACGTCCATCTGTTTACTAACTCAAGTGTGGGGTTGAGATAGTTGTGCGATGATGCAACAATCCATGTCTTAAAACACCCTGCAAGCACCTATACATGGATGTTCGTCTTCACTTGCAGAGTCGCTCTTCCCGTTTTTATGGTATGCTGTGGCCCAACAGCCAACACATCTCTAAATACAACCTGTACCAAAAACCATGTGTTGTCCTGAACAGCTATTTCTGGTTATCCCTGGCAGAGAGTCTTGACGCCCAGGCCGACCCCGCCACCCACTCACACCTATGGAGGTTAGTAGGTACCTAAGGTTACTACTAACTTAGTACCTACTAAGGCATAGGGATAGTTGGTAGTAGCTGGCGTATTGGATGGATCGTAGCTTTCCTAGCCAACAACCCAGCATCACCCTTTACCTTCAATCAACATATTCTCTTCGGCACAACCTTGTTTCTTCACGCGCATACTATTTTCATCCCAATCATGGGCCGGGATTGATCACGTATCATGAATGGAGCCCACGAACGCTGGCTTGGACTTGGAAAAGGAGCTGACGTGCTCTGTAAATCTCCCCGCCTTTTTGACTCCAAAGTCGATGGCTGCCAACAGCTAACCTTGTCTGTAGATCTGCACGGAGCTCCTATACCAACCTTTGACTCTTCTTGATTGCCTTCACACGTTTTGCGGTGCCTGTTTGAAGGAATGGTTTACTTTCCAGGCTGCGACGGCCGAGCGGGCGCCAAACCCGCCTGCTCCTGGTACAAACATTTTTACATGCCCGTCATGTCGAGCTGCTGTACGGACGACCCAACATAATGCGACCGTCGTCACTCTCTTGGATATGTTTATAGCAGCAAGCCCTGGCAAGGATCGTTCAGCAGCAGAGAAGGAAGAGATGGCAAGGAAGTATAAACCTGGCGACCAAGTCCTCCCGACGATAAATACACATCGAACGGCGGATGAGCGGCGCATCGACGCTGAAGACAGAAGGTTGGTGGAGGAGGTTCGAGAACTAAGTTTACAAGAGGCGGGAGTATCTTCGGGGCCACCAAGGACGCGGCGGAGGCGTGAGAGTCGATCTGCGGACGACAGAAGAAGGACAAGCAGAGACAGGGAAAGGGACCGAGGCAGAGATAGAAGTGTCGATAGCCGCCATCAGCGACGAGGAAGCCGTCGCCCACGAGTTGATGAGGGAGGTCGGCATAGCTCTGATCAACTCCATGTCGAAGGCGAGCGACGACGTCGACGAAGCGAGTCGAGGCAGCGCCAGATTGAGCACCAGTCATCGATTCGATCACTAATCAGCTCGGGAGATATGAGTGAGAGGGATATCGAACGAGAAATAGAGTCATTTGCCAGACAGATCCAGGAAGAAGGTCTCCTCGACGGGCTCGATTTGGACAACATCGATTTGAGTCGCGACGACGAGCTCAGCAGGAGGATCACTGAGGCATACCGACGTCGGCAGAGGGATCGAACACGCCAAGAAGCGAGGAGGAACAATGGAAATAACTATCCCCCGTTGACACGATATGCCGAGAATGCGGCAGCTGGGGACCCTCGCATGTTGACCCCAGAAGGAGGTCGACCAAGAGAAAGATCTCGACCACATTCTCGGTCTGCGAGCGCTGCAAGTGCTACCAGTGCTGCGAGTCAGACAGAGGAACGGAGTCGTCCGCCAACATCTACGAACTTAGCAAACTTAGAGGTCCAGGAGCCAATCCGAAGGCCTAGGAGACGGACTGCTAGCGGAGGTCGAAGCTCTACCACTCCAGTATTTCCGACCACTGCTGAACCCAGGCCTGCTGCTCGGTCCTCTACGGACCTGGGATCGAGACCCCAGGCTTCTGATATAACGCAGTCCCGACCTAGCTTTAGCGAGGGACGCAGCACGAGCACACCCATCCATACCGTACCGTTTCCCAACCCAACAGAAGCGGCTTCATTCAGCAACAATACCGGGAATATGTCGTTTGCCAGTCGTCAAGGAACCTCTCAAAGTGCATCGGTCCCTCCTCTATTCTCCCATCATGATGCAGCAGCCGGTCGGGCAAACAGACCTCGTCCGGTTGATCTTGCTATTGTTCATCAGACTGTGACCAGCCCGATTAGTAGTCCCACCGTCTCAGGACACCAGAGGACCAGGTCACAGCTCTACCCTGAACCTTCAGTCAGCTGCTCACGATGCAACAAGCAGCACATCGAATATGAGCTCCATTACAATTGCTCCATTTGCGCCAATGGACAATGGAATGTATGCCTCAACTGTTATCGGGCTGGCAAAGGCTGTCATCACTGGTTTGGGTTCGGCCATGGTGCTTTTTCCAAATGGGAAAAGATCCGCCAGCAGAAAGGGGATGCTTCACTTCCACAGCCACATACACTGACAGCTCTCCGTTACCGTCCTCCCCGCTCATCTCCTGGCGGGGCAGACGGACGAAAAACACTGACAGCGGACGATCCTCGACATCGGTTAGAAAGCGGTACTTTCTGTGCCAAATGCTCCGCTTGGACGAACGAGTGTTATTGGCGGTGCGACATATGTAACGAGGGCGACTGGGGCTTTTGCAACGACTGTGTGAATCAGGGAAGATCATGCACACATCCCTTACTTCCAATGGCTCACGAAGCCACCCAGTCTAACCAACACAGGCCTGGAAGTCCTCCTAGATCACCTGGTCGACCCACGGCAGCAACAATATTTAAGAGCCCTAACGCATCCAGCATCAAACCATTCGAATACTTGTCATTCACCACAAGATGCGACTTGTGTCAGGAGCCCATCCAACCGAATCAAGCACGATATCACTGCTATCAGTGTACAAGCTCCTTGGTATCAGATGCTGCACCAGGTGATTACGATATATGTTCTTCATGTTATGGGAACTTGATTGTACAAAGACAGATCAGCCCTGAAAACGGCCATTCAGGTTGGAGGAGATGCCTTAACGGGCATAGAATGGTAGTCATCGCATTTACGGATGGGAAGAGTGGGCGATGGAGATATATAGCCCAGGACTTGGTAGGAGGCCAAGGACTAAAGCCAGAGGCAGCTGAAAAGGCAGAACACCGCGAGAAAGGACTTCAGAAATGGGTTTGGCACGAAAATGGTCAAGATCTAGCCCGGCTTGTCACCAAAGACGTGTCAGAAACGGCGCCGAGCGAGAGCGGTTTCGCGAAGAGCTTGCCACCTGATGGCGGAGTCGGACTGAAGGCGACTGCGAGGTTTGGATGGTACCCCAGACCGGGAGCGGACGACGAACTTCTCTTTCCAAAGGGAGCGGAGATCAAAGAGATCGAGGATGTGAA